ATTAGCAGCAGTAAGACATAGTCGTCCGATGACTGGCTTAATCGGCGACCGGCTAGTATAGTAATCTAAAGATCCTGGACTCAGTTCTTGACAGTGGTGATGGGTTCATGCTGTGAAGAGTCTTAAACTAGAACAAAACAACTATCAAGAACTCTTAGTTTTTAATTATTTTCTGGCTGTTGTTGGTTCATGATGAAATCTACATTGCAATTTGAAACTACTCTTATTAGTTAGTAGTATATACCGTTTGATAAAAGAAATCTAACAACGCCTTGCAGGTATTTCACAGAAAATATCAAAATGAATCCCAGTGAAATTATGTCTGTATCAAGGCTTCATTCACCATCATAATCTTAGGGATGAAACAAAGATATTGTGAAAATACCCACTTCTCACAACAAAGAACAACTTCGGAATCTTCAAACACCGCTGTCAAATCAATGGTTCACAGACTTGGTGTACATGCTATCAAAAGCATTCAGAACAGGCTACTGAAGACTTTCGTCAACGCTTGTGCACTTCAATGACTTGATACTGAAGAGTAAATGGGCCGGTCAGTTAGGATAAGCAACAAGGCAACGAATTAACCAGGAACCCATCACTTAACAGAACTAGTACGGTTTATACATTATACATTATACTTCTCCCCCTCACCCAAAACCTTTAAAAATTACAATTGTGTAAATTATTCTATTTTATTTTTCTGACTACTTCATCTTGAATTACATGGTTATCCTTGTAAAGTTTTTTTATTCTTATGACCACTTCACCCTTAGTTACAAGTTATCATTTTCCTAATCGTTTTATTTTCTTTAACAATCCGTTACGTAATCAACCTGTGCACACGCTTATTCCTTAATTACTCTTCGTTTTTCCAAAATTATGCATTATGCAATCCACTTGTTGTAACCATTTCTACCTTTTTAATTGTGTGTATGCTAATTTTCTTCGTTAATTATCACCCCACCCCATTGACATGTTGACACTGACTCATTAATTATTGTTAACAAACATGTCAGTGTCACTTGATGATTGGTAAATTGTTGTGTATTGTAATAAAAATGCTCTTAAGTGTATATTAGAGTAGAGCCAGTGTGAGATAAGGATCTAGTCGAAAGTCAGGTGTGAGGACAAATACTCACCGAAGACATTGGCTAGCGGTTGCGCTATGTCATGAATTGGCAGAAGTTAGAATCCAAGGTCCATTGGATCGGGTCCCAGTGGCTTAATGGTATACGAGCTCGCTTTGCAACCGGAGGGTCCTGTGTTCGAATCCCGGTGGGTGCGTACTGATGAAGAGTCCCAAACTAGGACGAAACAGTTGTTCAGTACTCCCTGACAGGTTTTCCAATGGTTCTCTAACTAATGTCAGCTCATGATGAAATCCTCCAACCAATCAAATCCCTACAAACCAACACTTGAAAGGTGAACATTTCTTCGCTTCTCAGTCTTTCCGATTTCTAAATGTTTAAATGGAGTTACACAGTAGGGGAGACATTCAAGTTAAATTGGACACCAGGTAGGCCAATCAATGGAACTCGATCGGAAAACGAAGAGTTGGGCATCAGTTCGAGTGTGACGTAGAGGTGGTCGTCTGAAGTGGAAATGAAAGCTTCTGAGTCATAAGTTGTGAAGCTTTACTATCTCCATCCTCTGTCCCCTGTCGTAAAACAAGGAATTAGCGATAATATTAACTTGGAGTCGTAAAGAACACACTATTTCCAGCAGATGCATAGGTGAAACAGGAGTTTAATCATTCTTCTCTACTAATCCCTTTGTAATAAACGTGAACATTGAACGTTGGTTCATTGGCCTTGGTCTCCATTGGCTGGCAACTCGAAGGCGCGAATGGTTCAATCGTGTACAAGTTGGAAGAAGACGAAAGAATACAAATAAAAGTACAATACATTCCTTGTAAAATATTTGTTTACAGACTCTGGACGATAAAGATTTTAGTTGCCGAACAATACAACTTCTTGCAATTAATAGTGTTTGTTCTCTGAGCTGGTCGATTTTGTTGCGGAGCTTTCGTCGTCCTTCTGCACAACATCTCCCTTCAGAGAAAGTTTTTGCATAAAGTGAAATGATTTAAATTTCTTCATGAGTGATAGATATAATTGCGTCTCCCGGTAACCATCCTTAAATATGTATTGACCATTGACTATTGACTTGGGTTTTAAACTTTCTCGTTATTAGTTGGCATATTTCGTCTATATTAACGTGTTTGTTAACTGCATATTTGTTTGAGTACCAGGCTTCTAGGAATTCCCTGACTGCACTTTTGGTGTTTCCTCGTTCTAAGATTCCGACATTATCCCAATCATCAAATTGACGTCCATAATTGTCTATATGCATTGATATGAAAGGGGAATATATATCGTGTCTTTTCACGACTAATTTGTGTTCTTGGGTTCTGATTCGAAATAAACGCCCACTTCGACCACCGATGTAATGCCTGTTACAGTTCATACAATTTATTTTGTAAATGGTATTAATTTTATCTGCTTTTTCTGTTAGATCTTTCGGTTTGCATCATATCGAATTAAGTGATTTGACTGGCTGGCTTGTGTGCTACATGTATATCAAACGGTTTCAATATTCTAGCTGTTATTTCAGAGATATTTCTGATGTATGGTAGGATGAATTTTCTTGTGGTCTTTAATGATGGTTCATTGTTGGTGTCGTGATTCGATTTTAAACACTTTTTGATGAAATTTTGTGGATAACCATTCTGCTTTTTGAAGACCGTTTGTAGGCATTTTTCTTCCATTCTTTTCAACTCTGGGGTGCTACAGTGTGTTTGAACTCTCTTTTAAACAATGTCTGCACACAGTTTCTTTTGTGAGTGAGTAACTGGTTTTATTGCTTGTATAGTTGAGTATTTGGTCTGTGTGAGTTGATTTTCTATATACTTGTGTTTCTAAAATTCCTGTGTTGGTTCTCCAGATTAAGGAAGGCATCTAAAAATTGGATTTTGTTATTTAATTCTTCTCCTCTTGTGGTGAATTTTATGTCTTTAAATATGTTGTTTATTAATTTTGTGGGTATGTTCTAGATCATTTCTCTTAATTATTACAACTTCTTTCTTACAAGTCCTTGGGTTTTGGAGTTAAAGCCAGTAATCATTCATAGTAATTGTCGATTCGGAGCGTCATCGCAAATTATAGGAACTTAGGATTAAGTACCTTGACAACTTTCATTGGACCCAACAATTTCTTCTGATTCTTTCTAGAGTAATAAATCATCAATTAATTAAGAATTAAAAGTCAATCTGAACGAAGAATATTCTTTTCAATAATTTCTCCTCTTCAGGTTCTTACAATTATAAAATATAATATAATATTTGTGGTCGTTACAATAAAGATAGCCAGGTATGAGGCGGATACATTTTTAACGTAGAATAACAGATTAGTAGTTATGGGGTGTCAAAATAAATAGTCATATTTGTGTGACAAACGATCCCCGGGCTGAAAACGATTACAAAATATTTCAGTGATATGGGAGACAATGGTGGTGGTTAATCATAATGGAATTGTAGAGTGTGGGGTAGGAAAATTGACAAATAAGTCAGTTCAAGGTTATAAAAGGTGTCAGGTGAGTGAGTGGCTAGTACAAAGTGGTCTATGTTAAACAGGAGACAGTAAGACTGGAATGAGAGGTTCATAATGAGATAACGAATATGTTAAATGAAACAGGTGGAGGCATATATTGAGAAAAACAGATAATATCACTAATAATAAGTCCGTATAAATGAAAATTCGATAGTATTGGAGGAATGTTTGCATAAAGGGCATAAATTATGACGAATAATAATAATAAATGTAATAATAATATTTAAAATAATAAGCAAAGTAAAAAGAAGGAAAAAAACCAAGAGGGTTAAGGGGAAGGAGCACTCTTGGTGAGAAGAAAAATCTTCAATCCAATGTTGGCCACGGTAGGAACAGCGTATGGACGTGTTCCTTTTGGATACAAAGTTCCGGTTTAGTCGATCTTATTGCAACAGCTTCAGGCATTATGATTAACCACCACCATTGTCTCCCGTTTTACAATATTTCTAATCGATTTCAGCCCAGAGCAAGTTTGTCACACAAATACGACTATTTATTTTGACACCCCATAACTACTAATCTGTTATTCTACGTTAAAAATGTATCCACCTCATACCTGGCTATCTTTATTGTAACGACCACAAATATTATATTTTATAATTGTAAGAACCTGAAGAGGAGGAATTGTTGAAAAGAATATTCTTCGTTCAGATTGACTTTTAATTCATAATATGGGAATATTTCACACTATCAAATTAATTAAGAGCCATTTCATCAGTTTCAAGTCTGTGTGGAGGTCAACAGCACTACTTAGTATGAGAAACAAGATGTCGATTTTCAACTTCAATATGAAGTCAGTGCTACTAACTATAAGGATCAGAGACTTGGCCGGCGTGTCATAAAGAGCACTTCAAACAAACTACACACCTTCATCAACAGCTGTCTTCACTCAATACTACTCAAGATCAGATGACCGGCCAGAAAAGATCAGCAACAGGGATTTCAGGCAATGAATGAACCAACTCAACAGGAACGAATTGTGTGACCAATCTGCAGAAAGAAATGGACATATGAGGATTGGCCATACTCTGAGAAAACAAACCACCATCAAGTGACATCACACACCAGGCCATCGCTTGAGTGGAATCCGAATTCGAATGCGGCGAGTTGGTAGTCAGTGTGAAGAGGAGATGAAAGTATGTGGGCAAACGTGGAGTCACGTGAAAACGTTGGCAGAGAATCGAACGCAATGGACGGAGACGTGAGTGGCTGAAGCCCTTTATTCCTCTAGGAACTAAAGGAAACAGTAATAATAATATTTAAAAGCCAAGGTATTATCCCTTTTATTTTCATTTAAACAAACCAATAGCAAACAGTTTTGTTTTCTTCAGTCGCTAACATCGGAAAGTCTTATGCTGTTGAATAAATTTTCATTTCTTCAAGATGATTTTATGAATCGCACATTTTGACAATCTAAAATGCAAAAATAAATAATAATAAAACAGGACGATAAATAAATCAATAATGTAGCGAAATCATGGGGACTGGTGAGTAATACTGCTAAGTTTAAAGTCCAAACACTCTGTCTCTCTATATCATAAAATGTGTGGGAAAATTTGGTTAGTTATTTGTTTGAGTCGATTTGAATTTCCTCGTTGTTGAAACAATTCACTCTCCGCTGATATGTTGGGCTACTAACGCGGATGCTTCAACGATGTCCAATGATCAGTTGGTAGAATCTAGCGGTAAAATCTAATTTCAGTGTAGGAACACCAATACTCACTGAGGAGCCAAGTACTTTCAGTTGACGGGCCTCAAATTTGTCAAAATACCCACTCTGGATTCTACTTCTGGTCACCAACCAAAACAAGTGGCTTTACAGTGAAGAAAAGTGATTCTAAAACAGTGGACTAAAATTATTTAGCATTCCCCAAATTTTGATATTTTGATTGGAGATGTTTAAAAAGCATATTTTTTCTCATAAGCTCCAAATTCATCAAGGCGTAAGGCATATCAGGAGTTCTTTGGTGTAGGATGAGTAACAGTGGAAGCTAGGATGTGCATTTTGCTCCTGTTTGGGACTCATCTACTGAAAGTACCTGTAGTTCCAAGTTAGTGTTGATGTTCCCATTGATGCGTGAACCCAGTACCCTTGGTTTCAAACGTTAAAGCCTAATTTTACTAGATCCTATTCAGCCACAAAAACCTCATGTCAGCAAAGAGTGAATATTTCGGCCCAATCAGTCAATGTGCGTCGGTGGTATGGCGGTTATCACGCTCGCCGACCATGCTCATGGTCCGGGGTTCGATCCCCGGCCGGCGCACTCCTCTACCTCACTGAGCCAGAAGTAATGCTGGTAAAGAGGAAAAGTTGGGCATGAGGCTAGCAACCCATCCTGTAAAATTAAAAATGAATACTGCTACAGAAACTTCAAGCCACTAACTTGGGGCCCTATGTTCCAGTAGGAACGTGAAGGAAAAATTATTATTATTATTATTATTAGTCAATGGGAAAACACAATCAACTTGGTTTTTGTCATAAAAACCTTTTGACCCACTCAGTTCTAGTGAAACGTATTCCTTATTCTGGATAAAATTAGTCAACTTTCAGCTGTTTCGAGAGTAAATGTGCTTTCCTTCATGAGGATTGTTTTTTTGGTTAGATGTCTATGTGTGTCTTCATGTGATAAATAAAGAAAGGTGGGTCAGCAAAGAGATTTGTGGTTACAAGGCAGGCGAGCGAGCTCCTAGACTATTAAGACACTGGGATTCGAATCAATCGCCAGCCTATGAATTCTAACTTCTACCAGCCAATTTGTTGAGTACGTAACAATGTGATTGTACACTTTTTAGGTACTTGTATAAATTCGAGATATTGTACATAATTTTTGTTTAAATCGCTTCTTGTTGAAATATACATAATTTCCGTGTACGATTGAAAAATACACTCTGCTGTTGGAGACTTCGTCTTCTCCCTGGTCACCTCTACTTACTTGCTCCACTCACACCGTGTTGTAACTTTGGATTTATTGTAGGAGCCTACTACATTCATCCGAAGACATTTCTACAACCGGAACACAGCAGCTACAGCAGACGCAGTCCAAACAGTTAACGTGCCTGTGGATTATATAATTAATTTGTAGCCGAGGACTTACACTTTATAACCAAGTAATCCTTTTTGTTGCTATAACTCGTCACTGTATTTTTGGTAATATATTGTGATTTAACACTCCACTGACTTGGATTATTACTTTTATACTTGGAATGTTAGTGAACTCTAATATTAGTCCCCTACAAATTAATTGGTGAGCCCGATAAGAACACGGATTATTTTGGCATATTTATATTCTTATTTTTGCTATTTTTATATTCATTGTGATTTTGTGTGTGGTTTATATTTGTATCCTAATTTGCACCAATAACCTCATATTATAATGTCATCACCTCAGTCCGGTACATCAAACGAGCAGACAACTAATAGCGAGACAAATGCCACAATAAATGCCATCACTGATTTTCGTTTACCCCAATACGGTTTCGCAGAACCAAGGATTTGGTTTGCGGTAATTGAACCGTTGCTAGAAGCACGGGGCATTAAGTCCCAAATAGCCAAATATGGTATGGTGCTGGCAGAACTCCCTCCGTCAGTATTGACAGAAATCAGCGATTTCATCGAAGATCCTCCGACGGAACATCAATTTGATAAACTTAAAGCCCTCCTCATACAACGTACCAGTTTGTCGGATGAGAAAAGAATCCAACAATTGCTCACAGGCTGTGAACTAGGCCCACGTAAACCATCCCAGCTGCTCAGGCACATGCGCCAGTTAATCGGACACCATAAAGTAGACGAGGTAGTGCTGAAACAGATGTGGTTGCAACGTTTACCTAGAAATGTCCAGCAAATTTTAATCATCTCAGGAAAGTCGTATGACTTAGACCAACTAAGTGACATGGCAGATAGTATTTTGGATGTTTTATCCGATAACACCATAAGTCACGTAGCATCTGATAGTGCCACACCGTGTCATTCCACACCCACGGCAGACACACCGATACTCGCCGCCATTGCAGACTTAGCGGCAAGGATTGACAATTTGGAAACTAATAAGTCTGATCGACAAGTCCGGAGACGGACTTCACAAAGAAGGTCACCATCACGACGACGATCCTTCTCACGACAGCGTTCTTACACGTCTTCTCGGGATAGCAATATATGCTGGTATCACTGGAAGTTTGGACGTCATGCCCTGAAATGTGTAAAACCGTGCAGCTTTAGCGAAGCCAACCAGGCTCAGGGAAACGCCTCAGCCAGACAGTGATGGCGACAGCTGTTACTGGCAAGCAAACAAGTCGCCTCTTCTATGTGAAGGATAAAACTTCAGACACTTTATTCCTGGTAGACACGGGAGCAGAAGTTAGCGTAATCCCTCCTTCACTATCCAGGCGATCTACACGGACACCCGGAAAACTGTCTCTCCGGGCAGCTAACCACACAAGCATACAGACGTATGGAGAGCAATCCCTCATACTGGATCTAGGTTTACGTCGGCGTTTCACATGGATTTTCATAGTAGCCGACGTCAGTCACGCCATCCTCGGAGCAGATTTCTTGAGTAATTTCAACCTGTTAGTTGACGTCAACAATAAAAAACTGATTGATAACAACACCCATCTAAAGATCCATGGAATTATCTCCAGCTATTCTGTCTATAATATCAGTATTGAAAGACCAGCAGATTGCCCTTTTTCCTCCCTACTTCACCGTTTCCCTAAAATTCTTAAGCCGTCGTACAACATCGAGGACGTCCCTCACACAGTTACTCACAAGATAGTTACTACGGGTCAACCAGTTCGTGCTCGTCCCCGTAGATTACCCCCGGACAAATTGGCAGCAGCCAAGGCAGAATTTGAACACATGATGCAGCTCGGCATCATCAGACCCTCCAATAGTCCTTGGTCTTCGCCCTTACACATGGTGCCTAAAGCTGATCATGATTGGAGGCCATGTGGGGATTACCGACATTTAAACAATGCCACAGTTCCCGACCGTTATCCTATTCCTCATCTTCATGATTTCTCCCTGACATTACACGGAAAAACCATTTTTTCTAAAGTAGACTTGGTCAGGGCCTATCACCAAATACCAGTTGCCCAAGAGGATATCGAAAAAACGGCCATCATCACACCTTTCGGTTTGTTTGAATTTCTCCGCATGCCATTTGGCCTAAAGAACGCAGCACAATCCTTCCAACGTTTCATGGATCAGGTCACACAAGGTTTGGACTTTGTATTTGTATATATCGATGACGTTTTAATTGCTAGCTCGTCGCCCGAAGAACATACTGATCACCTCACCATCTTATTTCAACGATTTGAGCAATATGGAGTCGTCATTAACCCCAAAAAGTGCATATTCGGTGTCTCCTCTATACAGTTTCTGGGACACCACATAACCACGAATGGTATTACGCCTACGGAGGAAAAGATAGAGTCCATCAAAAACTTCCCCGAACCAGATTCACTCAAGAAGGTCAGACGTTTTTTGGGGATGTTTAATTTCTATCGGCGTTTCATTCCTTCGTGTGCCTCCATCGTCCAGCCGTTAACCGACCTCCTTAAAAATGATCCTAAAAAGTTTCAGTGGTCAGCTGAAGCACGCGAATCATTTTGCAACGCAAAAGATGCCTTATCCAGAGTTACTATGCTATCCCATATCAACCCCGAAGCGTCGCTTATTTTGTGCACAGATGCCTCCCAAGTAGCTGTAGGGGCAGTATTACAACAAAAGATGAAGGGCGAAGTCACCCCACTCGCATTCTTTTCTAAGAAGTTGGAACCGGCTCAGACACGATACAGCACTTTTGGGAGAGAATTGCTGGCCATATATCTTGCAGTGAAGCATTTCAGTTACTTACTACAGGGCCGGCATTTCACTATTTTTACTGACCACAAGCCCCTGTGTCATGCTTTCACTACTTCACTTGATAAACACTCCCCTAGAGAAGCCAGACAGTTGGATTATATCTCCCAATTTTCAACCGACATTCAGTACATCAAAGGGGATGCGAACGTGGTAGCCGATTCTCTTTCAAGAAGTGACATTAACCAGCTCCAAACGTCGGTAGACATCAGTCTTGATCGTATGGCTCAATTACAACGAGATGACGTTGAACTCCAAACCTGCCGCAGAAACTCTTCCTTACAACTCAAAGATGTGCCTATCCCCTTATCAGATGCAACCATAGTCTGCGATGTATCTACCGGCACTAATCGTCCATTTGTCCCTCTCAGTTGCCGAAAAGCATTGTTCGAACATTTACATTCGCTTTCCCACCCTGGAGTACGCGCCACGGTCAGGCTGATCAGCGAACGCTTCGTGTGGCCTAAAATGAACTCTGACATTCGGAGATGGGCACGAGAATGTATCCAATGCCAATGCTCCAAAGTACACCGCCACACTATTACAACCCCGAAGACGTTTAAATTACCCGAAAGGAGATTTCAGCATATCCATATAGATATCGTGGGACCATTGCCAACATCAAGGGGATATACACATATCCTGACAGCGATTGATAGATTTACTCGTTGGGCTATTGCATGCCCCTTAAACGACATATCTGCTGAAAACGTTGCTTTAGTTTTTCTCGACCGTTGGGTGTCAAACTACGGTGTACCAACTACTATTACATCCGACCGCGGTCCTCAATTCCAATCGACACTCTTTCGCGAACTGACGAGACTTCTGGGAGTGAAACATATCTCCACAACAGCCTATCATCCGGCAGCGAATGGTCTAGTGGAAAGATTCCACAGACAACTGAAAAGCTCCCTGATGGCGCAGAATGATACATCTAAGTGGAGTGAATACTTACCTTTGATTTTACTTGGTATCCGATCTACTATCAAAGAAGATTTAGGATGTACACCGGCTCAACTTGTCTATGGCACCAACCTAACCTTGCCTGGACAGCTAGTCCCCTCAGCCGATTCCACAGACGTGAACATTGCCGACTTCACTAACCGATTAACTAGACAAATGCTTCAACTTCAACCAACAGCACCTCGACAATCTCCCCGACGAGATCAGATCAACAAACATCTACAAACTTGCAAATTCGTCTTCATTCGAGTCGACGCCATCAGAAAAGGATTGCAACCTCCATACGAAGGACCCTTTCAAGTTATTAAACGTTCAGACAAACACTTTACCGTGAACAAGAATGGAAAACGAGAGACTATTTCCATTGATCGAATCAAACCCGCATACACCGACAACGACTTCGAATCTACATCGGCAACTGCGCAATCAAATAATCAAACATCCGATTCCACTCCACCGGCACCAAGTCTTATCCTCCCTCCATATCAAACACGTAGTGGTCGGCAAATCAGTAAACCGGCTCGCTACGTTCATTTTGAGGACTAACAAAAGAAAAATAATTAAAAATTATTATTATCTTTTTCGTTTAGACATTATCATCATGACCGTTAGTATTTCGTCGTAAACTTTGATGTTACTATCACTATTATTTATTTATATGTACCTCACCAAAAAAACAGGTAGTGTCCTTTCCAAAAACTACTGATCTTTAATCCATATTTTTTTTAATGTTTCTTTCCCCTCCTTAATTACTGTGTATTTACATATTTTTCTTTATACATTAAAAATCTATGTTCATGGTTAGTGCAAATTTAAGTGACATGACTTTCTATTTCAATTTTTATTGCTGAACTTATTGTATATGCTTTCAGACTTTACATGATTCACATACCTTCTCGCGTTTATGCATGTTGTAATATATCCCTATTTTTATCCAAAAGTTGCTATTACTATTATTACTTACTTCATAGTTTTACGTATCATTTTCCGGTTGTCTCTCCGGACCTCTAGGGGGGAGCCGTGTTGAGTACGTAACAATGTGATTGTACACTTTTTAGGTACTTGTATAAATTCGAGATATTGTACATAATTTTTGTTTAAATCGCTTCTTGTTGAAATATACATAATTTCCGTGTACGATTGAAAAATACACTCTGCTGTTGGAGACTTCGTCTTCTCCCTGGTCACCTCTACTTACTTGCTCCACTCACACCGTGTTGTAACTTTGGATTTATTGTAGGAGCCTACTACTTTCATCCGAAGACATTTCTACAACCGGAACACAGCAGCTACAGCAGACGCAGTCCAAACAGTTAACGTGCCTGTGGATTATATAATTAATTTGTAGCCGAGGACTTACACTTTATAACCAAGTAATCCTTTTTGTTGCTATAACTCGTCACTGTATTTTTGGTAATATATTGTGATTTAACACTCCACTGACTTGGATTATTACTTTTATACTTGGAATGTTAGTGAACTCTAATATTAGTCCCCTACAAATTTATGACATAGCGAGACCACTTCGTAATGTATTCTTCTTCGATGAGTTACTGCCTCACCTTCAACCTTCTATACCCTACTGGTCACGGCTTCTCACGATTTCATGAATTAGTAAAAGTTAAAATCTCTGGAGTGGCCATTGGACTGGTGGGTCAACAGGAGAGATGATTAATAAACTCGTGGAGAAATCTAAAACCTCACATCCTTCAAATTGAAGTATGCGCTGAGGATGTTGCCTAGTAGAGCAATGAAAGCTTCACAAATAAACCATTCAGCTAGCTCAGAGAACACGGCCACATCAAAGCAGAGACGATACCTAAATAACTATACATCTCGTAGAACTTACCTACTTGTCAATGCAATTAATGTTGAAAATGTCACTAAGTTTAATAATGGAACGTGCAATAAGATCAAATATCAAAGAACACAAATCTTCGTCATAATTTACCTTGCAAACAAGATGAGGCTCCACTACATGTTTGATGACATCCATCATAGTCACATAGAGTTCATCAAGAATTTTCGAACACTGAAAAAATATATACAGATGTGAAAAAGTGTGTACAAAGACAACTAACTCAATGTCACTTTAGTTGCAGTCGAATTAACCTTGTTTCTATATTAGATCATTCTTGTATTACCTGATTAATTAATCATCTAAACTTGACAAACCTCATGTACATACAAACACACAAATAATTATATATAAATGCGATTTTACAGCTTTGTGAATGAATTCGCCGTCTAGCAGAGTCTCTTCTCTGAACGTCTTCTCTTTTTTATATAACTCAATGGGGATTTTTAAACCGTCATTTTACCCTGGTCTGGACATTTTAGGACTGAGTAGGTCAGGAAGTTCTGGTAGCAATACAGTAGAACAGAATGAGTGGTTTCTTGTGTTCAGACCAACTCATCTTCACACGATCTCCTCCTGACGCGCGATGTCACACAGCGGCCTGCCTCCTCAGCGAGTGTCCAATCCATCTCCACTTTCTCCAACTGTATATTTGTTGGGTTCTTGTTTTGTTTGTTCCCATAGTTTCTTGTTGGTGATTCTTTCCGGCTCGGCCATCTGATCTTCAGTATAGAGCCAGCGAGGACAGTTGTTGGTTGATAAAGGTCTGCAACAGGCTGCTGGAAATATTCTTTGTGACCCGCCAAGCGCCAAGTTTCTGATCCATATTGAAGAGCTGACTGACTTGACGTTGTTTGTATTGAAAATCCGGCTGAATTTTGTTGTTGATGCTGAGTTGAGTGACGAAGATTTCCAGATTGGTTTTAGGTTGATGAATAATGTGTTTCTCGCCTTCCCTATTCTCGATTTGACATCCTCATCCGTTCCGACTGCTTGTAGTTGAGAGAGAATGCTCCCTAGATAAGTGAATGAAGTAACCTCTTTCAAATCCCTCGCGTTGATGGTGACTGACACTGGATGTTGCTGCTGTTGTTGTTTGGTTGGTTGGTTATATTCATAACCTCCATTTTGTCTATGTTCCCCTGGAGTCCTGTCTTCGCTGCTAAGGACTAAACACGTGATATTGATTCTTCCCTTGTGACTGACAGATACAGCTCAATTCGTATGCCTACACCGCCTGACTTAGGCGTTTAATTTTATCTAAGAATTCATCAATTGAATGTCACTGAATTCAGTTTTGCTTATGAAGTAAAGAAACGAAATAAGCGCACTTACTTGTACCTCCAGTCTTACATAATCGCACACGTGCACAAATACAGCCTGAATTTCTTTAAGAAGTGCATCGGACAGTAAAATATTTTTGGTTTCTGTTACTCCCATCAAGCAAACTGGACAAACTGTTAGGTGAACAAATATAAGAGACAAGAAAACAAACAGGTAAGAGAGAAACAAAATAAGGCTTGAACAAAGTAAGAAGAGTATAGTGAACAGGGTAAAATGATGGCATTATATTTCATTGATTCATGTCACCTGTGCACAGTTTAATATCAGTCGTGGGTCAGAATAGCTCAATGGTAAACTTTCCAACTGACCACTGGGTGATATGGGCTCCGATCTCAGAAGTGACTTGAGTTACTTCAAGATTGCAGATAGGTACAGCTAACTTATAAATACCAACAGGCACGAAACCCAAATCAAGTGGGGTCTTCTACCGACTGACTTCAACCATCTGATATCAACAATTACCAGTGCAGCGTGATAGCAAGCCACCTAGTGGCATGGTGTCCACATCGCAAAACTGCCTGATAGAATGAATTCTACACCAACAGCAAGGACTAGACACATCACACTAGTTACTAACTCGTTTTCAATCAAGATACTGTAGACACTGGTCATAAACATGGTGAGAATTATTATCCCATGACTAAGTAGCATTGCCGAAAGAACTAGGAGCCTTGTTAAACTAAAAATCTCCAGTAGCAAAAACAATAGTAGAGATAATAAATAAGCTGAATGATTACCAACCACTTCACACTTCATAAAAACTCACATAAATCTCATATCGGTTTCAATTACCATACGTCTGTATATGTTATAAGAACTCACATTTCGTACAACAGGAAATGCTGATACTTACTTAATAGCCTGAAATGAAACACCGACTGACGGACAATATTTGTGATTTAAACCCCTTAATTTGCTATGATAGTCATATAGGCACCAAAAGAAATTCTCCCCAGTTACCTGTATCATTGTGTCGGTGGCACAGCGGTAGAATGCTCGCCTACCATGCATGTGGCTCGGAGTTTAACCCCAAACAGACGCAATCCTCCATAACTTCGCTAGCCTAGTCATAGGACTGGTAAAGAGGGAAGAATAGTTTTGAGACTAGCAACCTCATCCCGTAAAAAAATAAACACCGCTGCTGCCGAAACTTCAAGCCTCTAGCTTAGAGCCCTATGTTCCACTGGGGTGATGAAAGAATAAAAAATTTGCATCAATGCACAAACAGAGGATATGTCATAATCTTCTGATGTCATAAAATATTTTAAAAGTCAATTGTCTTATTATTTGTTCATTGTGATCAATTGCAGCGTGAAGATAAGTTTCAAAATCATTCGTCTATTACAGCTATAAAAAGTGGGAATATTGTCTCAAATTCTCAGTTCATGGAGATGAGATTTCACCAATTGCTTTAGGAAACCAATAAAATTATTCTGACCACAGAATATGTGATCTAATTAACACCACAAATAGTAATCAAGAAAGTAGTTCCAACTGCGTAAAACTACATACTACTGAAAGATTAGAATGAGTAGTCGTATACCACTCACATTAACTGGTAATGTTTGTCAAGCAGATGTAAATGGTTTAAACACTGGACAGTCGTTTCACGTGCTCCCGGTAGTTTTAACTAATTCAGCCATCTGAACAAAGTCGAACCGACTGCACCGTTTATGCTGTCCTTCTAAGGCAGATGAAATCGTCATTTGGTGTTTGGACCAATTCCATCTGTTCAGCAAGCATTACTAGTTAGTTTTGAAGGGTACACAACAACTCGTTCTAACCAATTAGTAGTAGTAGTCTGTAGTTTCAGTCGTATTTTAGCCTTTAAAAATTGTCTACTTATAAGTAGTATAAAATATTCAACAAAAGTTTAAATCGTTATGTTCAATAATGTTCATTTAATAAACTTCGATTAAAGATTCATACAATTCTTCCTATTAGCAAATTTAGCGGAATAATATGAGCTCATTTAGAATTGTTTCACAGATTATTCCTAACTGCTCACAATTTAAACACTACTAAAAATACTGAATGTAAATCATACTACTTCAGAAATATTTGAAAAGAGGAAGAACAAATATTGATGGACCAATCGATTTTTGCGTTTTTCCCTTTTGTTCCTACCAAGTGATGCTTGACTGAATGTCCATTTTTTTGAATCATTCTGTTTGATGTCTAGTGGAATTCGGTTGGGTTAAGGTAACAAGATTCATCACGAAATGACTTCAGTTACACAACAACTGAATACCAGAAAGTACTGTTCAGATGATTCGTCCTTGTCTGGGATTCTTCAGTGGTACACCGCGACCACTCCGCCAAGGATAAAAAAAAGCAGGAACCTCTAAGTTACAGCATGATCTCGTCGACCATTCAGCCATTAGGACGGTTCCAGTGGCCCATGAATTCGTATTTCAGTCGATTTACCAAGTATATCACGACCATCAGAAACTGGCATACCCATCTTGATTGACCCCTTTGAATGTGACCTCACACCAAAATTTTAGGTAGTTTCATTCTGTTGTCAGCCACTTGAGAGCAGTTTTAGTTACAAGGTGAGCTCGTAGACCATTAAGCCATTGCGACCCCATCCAACGGACAGAGCATCAATTCCAACTCCTGACAATTCACGATATAGAGCGATCAATAGCCAATATCATCTGTGGCGAGTATTTATCGTCACACCCAATGGCTACAACTCCTAACTAGAAACCAGATAAATACCCACCTGAATAGGGCCAGTCGCTAGTGAGCTCGCTTTGTAACCGGCAGGTCCTGGGTTCGAAACTTGGTGGTGGATGCACGCTGATGAAGAATCCCAAACAAGGCTGACGAAACCGCTGTCCAGTGCTCCCTAAAGGTTTTCCAAATGTTCTCTAAACGATATCAGCTCATAATGAGATCCTATAACCAATCAAATCCCTGCAAACGAATATATGAATATAAACAGGATATGTGTATATATATATGTACTTACAGTTTATTTTTGGTGGATTCGGGCACATTCCAGCAACCTTTTAATAGATAGACAGACAGACAGACAAGAAAGAAAGCTGTAATAATTTGGCAATACAAAAACACACAAATAAACTGGGATATGGGAACCAAATGATTACATAATATGATGTAATTATGATCCAGCCAACAGAAAGCAGCCAATCATTAAAGGCAGTAGAAACGAATCAAGAGAAAAGAGAACAGTTTCTGAAGACCATTTAAGATAAAACAAAAAACAACAACCAAGAAGCTCGACACTCTGTGAATAACAAGAATAATAAGAATAAAAATGCTCTACGCGTATATTAGAGTAGAGCCAGAGATGAGGATCTAATTGAAAAGTGAATATTTCTTCTCCGCTTAACCCTACTGCTTTCTAAATGTCTAAATAGGGATTATTTTATGTCTATGCAATCGTGATCCAAATGTTCTAGCCTATGGTATGTATTCAAAAGAAATACGTCCAATCCTTGTTTCTACGTTTCTCAAGTCCTAATCTGCGTTATCATATTTTTTATCCGAACTTACTATCTATTTTGTTATTACTACTGCCTTAATCCTTAACTGTACAAAAAGTCAAGTTTGTCAGTAATTATTTATTTTTATTTATTTTTGATTACAGCTTGATTCCACACAGTATTTTTGGTACAAGTATGGAATTTTCAGCATGGATATCGGTAGTCCAAATTTTGCAGGCTGACCATCGATATCAGGTGTGTGTGTGTCGGATCACGAATTGATATCAGTTAGAGAACCATTGGGAATCAGCCAGGGAGTACTTGACAGCTGGTGTTTCATCCTAGTTTGGAAATCATTGGCAGTACGCTGGCACCCACTGGGATTTGAACACAGGACCTTCTGGTTACAAGGAAAGCTGACTCGTATACCATTCAGCCACTAGGACCCGATTCGATGACTTCGACCAATTCGTGATATAGCACGACCACAACCATTGTCGTTGGTGGGACATCCATCCTCATATGTGATAGCTAATTGGACCTCATTGGTCACGACGTCTCATTAGAACTGACTCCAGGAAACTCCATCCTGTAGCAAGTCACTAGCGAGCATCATATTAATTTTCTATAGTTTGGCTTGTAAGGGTTAGTTATGTTTATGTGAGTTGATCAGGGATTGATATTTTTATTTTTTTATTTTTGATTACAGCTTGATTCCACACACTGTATTTTTGGTACAAGTATGGAATTTTCAGCATGGATATCGGTAGCCCAAATTTTGCAGGCCGACCATGGATATCAGGTGTGCATCGGTAGGCGATCCAACCTCGGCCCATGTGCATGGTCGGCGAGAGTCCTAACCACTGTGTCACTGGCGCATAGTTCTGAGAACGATTGAAAACTACCACTGGAGTACAGGAAAGCTGTTTCGTTTTAGTTTCGGAATCATCGGCAGCATGCAATGTATTTTTATCCCATCTTCCTGTTTATTACACATTACAATCTAATTAATTTGAATCTTGACCAACGGGAATAGTTCTCGGACTTTTTCATCCAATTCCTATAAATAAACAAATGTATAGCTATCTAGTTGACGGCTTCATCGAAAAGAAAATTTTCTTCGCTGTAAGCGTCTTTTAAATATTTATCAAAGGCATTTTTTTCTCTATTCTTTTACTTTCCCAGTGGAACATGGGGCTTCAGGCTATAGGTTTGAAGTTTCTGTAACAGTGGTGAATATTTTTACAGGATGAGGTTACTAGCCTGCCTCATGCCCTCCAACCTTCCCTCTTTACCAGTCCTACTATTGGCTTAGCGAGGTAATAGAGTGCGTCGGCCAGGGACTGAACCCCGGACCACAAGAGGCGTGGTCGACGAGCACTCTACCTCTGTGCCACCGACAAAGGGAATTACTGTGGAAGACTACAATTAAATTATGGATAGACTTTATTTTGATAAAATCTCACAGTGTTATACAGTACAGTAATATTTACTGATGACCGCGTTTCGAGTACAATTTATTACTCCAGCTAATAATCATATCAAGGTACTCATTCACACAACTTTCTAACTTCGTTTATATAATGCAATCATTATTGTTCATCGCTTGATTCGATTGGTAGTAGCGGTATTTCCCATATTTCCGGTATAAGTGATGAGTCATTCCTATTGCACGTGTGTTGGGTGTAGACCTCGATGAACCAGGCAGGATTCAGGAAACAACCTCTCGCACTCTCCACCTACCAATATTAATTCTTTGAATTTTGAATGTCACATCCACACCATTGTGCGGTTGTGTGTTAATGCATGCATAAGTTTTATTGCTGAGCCTTTGTCTAAATTACTTATCATCGTGAGATCAACCATTCTTACCTTAGATAAACTCTTATGTTCCCATAGGGAGTCTGACTACCTCCTATCTACTAGTGTAACCTATGTGGGGTTGACTTCACTCAGAGTCATTGAAAGGTTATTTGTAAATTATATTATTTTGTCTAAGTGGGTAAAAATACCCTACACAATTATTGAATTGAATTTTTGATTTTCCCGTCGATTGATTGGACCGAAGTGCTCGATCTCGTGGCCCAAGTGGTCTAGTGGATAACGCTTTGGCGTTTGAAACTATGGGTACTGGGTTCGAGCCTCGGTGGGAACATCATCACTCACTGAGAAATGCAGGTACATCCAGCTGACGAGTCCCAAATAGGACGAAATGCGCTTTATCCTGGATTCCACTGCTAGCCACCATCCACCAATTGTATACCCTACACAATGACTGTGAGTGAAGTCAACTACATAGGTCATACTAGTAGATCGGGAGTAGTCAGACTCTACCTATCAGAATATAAGAATTTAGATAAGGTAAGAATGGTTGATCTCACGATGATAAGTAATTTAGACAAAGGCTCAGCAATTACACTCATGTTTGCATTAGCGCACAACCATACAATAGGATGGGGGAGGGATAAAATTCTAAGAAGTAATATAAGTAGGTGGAAAGCGAAAGAGATTGATTACTGAATCCAGGTTCATCGACGTCTACAACCAACGCACGTGCAATAGGAATAACTCATCAGTCATACCGGAAATATAGAAAGAAAATCCTACCGCCAATCATCAAGTCAAGCGATGAAAAATAATGATGGAATTATGTAGACAAAGTTAAAAAGTTGTGTGAGTAGTGCCTTGATATGATTATTGGGTGCAGTAATAAATTGTGCTCGAAAAGTGGTCATCAGTAAATATTACTGTACTGTATTACACACCATTGTGAGACTTTATCAAAACAAAAATTTACCCATAATGGAGTTAACAGTTAGTATTTTGCATGGAGGATTTCATCATGAGCTGACATCAGTTAGAGAACCACAGGAAAACCTGGGAGTACTGGACAGCAGTTTCGTCCTAGTTTGGGATTCTTCAGCAGTACGCACCCACCACAGGGGTTCGAACCCAGGACCTTCTGGTTACAAGGTGAGCTCGTAGACCATTGAGCCACTGGGACCCGATCCGATGGTCCTTGAATTCTACCTTCTGCCAATTCACGATATAGCGCAACCACTTCGCAATGTCTTCTTCGATGAGTTACTGCCTCATCTTCAATCTGCTGTACCCTACTGGTCACGGCTTCCCACTAGAACCCCAGGTTAACTACCTGAATAGGCCAGTCACTAGTGAGCATCAGATTTAGTATTTTGAGTGAGTTTATTCGTTTGAATAATATTCTAATGCTTGTCAAACATGCTTGTGGTCAGGGTTCTACTCCTATTCACAGAAATTGTGAACCCCTCCTAGTTTAATAACCTCTAATAAGTTCGGAAAAGAGGGATGCTTGGGTTTGAGGTTAGTAACTCCACCTTTTAAAAGCGATGACCTTGGTAGCGGAACTTCACTGCCAAAATTTGAATGTTCCACGGGGAAAATCTTCATTCAGACATTTATAAAACACAAAATAATTGAGCAGCGAAGAATATCATTTTCGATAATTTCCTCATCTTCTGGCTTTACAATCCTATATGTACATGTTTATTTACATAGAATATTCTAGAATAGTAATCAATAACAATATCAGTTTTTTCGCAATTAATAGTGTTTGTTCTCTGAGCTGGTCGGTTTTGTTGCGGAGCTTTCGTCGTCCTTCTGGACAACATCTCCCTTCAGAGAAAGTTTTTGCATAAAGTGAAATGATTTAAATTTCTCCATGAGTGATAGATATAATTGCGTCTCCCGGTAACCATCCTTAAATATGTATTGACCATTTACTATTGACTTGGGTTTTAAACTTTCTCGTTATTAGTTGGCATATTTCGTCTATATTAACGTGTTTGTTAACTGCATTTTTTCTTGAATACCAGGCGTCTAGGAATTCCTTGACTGCAGTTTTGGTGTTTCCTTGTTCTAAGATTTCGACATTATCCCAATCATCAAATTGACGTCCATAATTGTCTATATGCATTGATATGAAAGGGGAATATATATCGTGTCTTTTCACGACTAATTTGTGTTCTTGGGTTCTGATTCGAAGGGGACGCCCACTTCGACCACCGATGTAATGCCTGTTACAGTTCATACAATTTATTTTGTAAATGGTATGAATTTTATCTCTTTTTTCTGTTGCATCTTTCGGTTTGCACAATATCGAATGACGTGATTGGACTGGCTTGTGTGCTACATGTATATCAAACGGTTTCAGTATTCTAGCTGTTATTTCAGAGATATTTTTCCTGATGTATGGTAGGATGAATTTTCTTGTGGTCTGAATGGATGATGGTTCGTTGTTGGTGTTGTGATTCAATTATAAACACTTTTTGATGAAATTTTGTGGATAACCATTCTGCTTTATGAAGACCGTTTGAAGGTATTTTTCTTCCATTCTTTTCAACTCTGGGGTGCTACAGTGTGCTTGAATTCTGTTTAAAGCGATGTCTGCACACAGTTTCTTTTGTGAGTGAGTAATTGGATTATTGGTAGTATAGTTGAGTATTTGATCTGTGTGAGTTGATTTTCTATATACTTGTGTTTCTAAAATTCCTGTGTTGGTTCTCCTGATTAAGACATCTAAAAATTGGATTTTGTTATCTAATTCTTCTCCTCTTGTGATGAATTTGATGTCTTGAAATATGTTGTTTATTAATTTTGTGGGTATGTTCTAGATCATTTCTCTTAATTATTACAACTTCTTTCTTACAAGTCCTTGGGTTTTGGAGTTAAAGCCGATAATCATTCATAGTAATTGTCGATTCGGAGCGTCTTCGCAAATTATAGGAACTTAGGATTAAGTACCTTGACAACTTTCATTGGACCCAATAATTTCTTCTGATTCTTTCTAGAGTAATAAATCATCAATTAATTAAGAATTAAAAGTCAATCTGAATGAAGAATATTCTTTTCAATAATTTCTCCTCTTCAGATTCTTACAACTATAAAATATAATATTTATTGTTGTCGTTACAATAAAGATAGCCAGGTATGAGTCGGATACATTTTTAACGTAGAATAACAGATTAGTAGTTATGGGGTGTCAAAATAAATAGTCATATTTGTGTGACAAACGTGCCCTGGGCTGAAAACGATTACAAAATATTTCAGTGATATGGGAGACAATGGTGGTGGTTAATCGTAATGGAATTGTAGAGTGTGGGGTAGGAAAATTGACAAATAAGTCAGTTCAAGGTTATAAAAGGTGTCAGGTGAGTGAGTGGCTAGTACAAAGTGGTCTATGTTAAACAGGAGATAGTAAGACTGGAATGAGAGGTTCATAATGAGATAACGAATATGTTAAATGAAACAGGTGGAGGCATATATTGAGAAAAGAGATAATATCACTAATAATAAGTCCGTATAAATGAAAATTCGATAGTATTGGAGGAATGTTTGCATAAAGGGCATAAATTATGACGAATAATAATAATAAATGTAATAATAATATTTAAAATAATAAGCAAAGTAAAAAGAAGGAAAAAACCCAAGAGGGTTAAGGGGAAGGAGCACTCTTGGTGAGAAGAAAAATCTTCAATCCAAGGTTGGCCACGGTAGGAACAGCGTATGGACGTGTTCCTTTTGGATACACAGTTCCGGTTTAGTCGATCTTATTGCAACAGCTTCAGCCATTATGATTAACCACCACCATTGTCTCCCGTTTTACAATACTTTCTAATCGATTTCAGCCCAGGGCACGTTTGTCACACAAATATGACTATTTATTTTGACACCCCAAAGCTACTAATCTGTTATTCTACGTTAAAAATGTATCCGACTCATACCTGGCTATCTTTATTGTAACGACCACAAATATTATATTATATTTTATAATTGTAAGAACCTGAAGAGGAGAAATTATTGAAAAGAATATTCTTCGTTCAGATTGACTTTTAATTCATAATATGGGAATATTTCACACTATCAAATTAATTAAGAGCCATTTCATCAGGCTCAAGTCTGTGTGGAGGTCAACAGCACTACTTAGTATGAGAAACAAGATGTCGATTTTCAACTTCAATATGAAGTCAGAGCTACTAACTATAAGGATCAGAGACTTGGCCGGCGTGTCATGAAGAGCAATTCAAACAAACTACACACCTTCATCAACAGCTGTCTTCACTCAATACTACTCAAGATCAGATGACCGGCCAGAAAAGATCAGCAACAGGGATTTCAGGCAATGAACGAACCAACTCAACAGGAACCAATTGTGTGACAAATCTGCAGAAAGAAATGGACATATGAAGATTGGCCATACTCTGAGAAAACAAACCACCATCAAGTGACATCACACGCTAGGCCATCGCTTGAGTGGAATCCGAATTCGGATGCGGCGAGTTGGTAGTCAGTGTGAAGAGGAGATGAAAGTATGTGGGCAAACGTGGAGTCAGGTGAAAACGTTGGCAGAGAATCGAACGCAATGGACGGAGACGTGAGTGGCTGAAACCCTTTATTCCTCTAGGAACTAAAGGAAACAATAATAATAATATTTAAAAGCCAAGGTATTATCCCTTTTATTTTCATTTAAACAAACCAATAGCAAACAGTTTTGTTTCCTTCAGTCTCTAACATCGGAAAGTTCTGCGCTGTTGGAATAAATTTTCATTTCTTCAAGATGATTTTATGAATCGCACATTTTGACAATCTAAAATGCAAAAATAAATAATAATGATAAAACAGGACGATATATAAATCAATAATGTAGCAAAATCATGGGGACTGGTGAGTAATACTGCTAAGTTTAAAATCCCAACACTCTGTCTCTTTATATCATAAAATGTGTGGGAAAATTTGGTTAGTTATTTGTCTGAGTCGATTTGAATTTCCTCGTTGTTGAAACAATTCACTCTCCGCTGATATGTTGGGCTACTAACGCGGACGCTTCAGTGATGTCTGATGATCACTTGGTGGAATCTAGTGGTGAAATCTAATCTCAGTGTGCTCACTGATGAGGCAAGAATATTCATTTAGTTGACGGGCCTCACATTTGACAAAATATCCACTCTGGCCACCAACCAAAACAAGTGGCTTTACAGTGAAGAAAAGTGATTCTAAAACAGTGGACTAAAATTATTTAGCATTCTCCATATTTTGATATTTTGATTGGAGATGTTTAAAAAGCATATTTTTCCCCATTATCTCCAGCTTTATTAAGGCGTAAGGCATATTTAGGAGTTCTTTGGGTGTATAATGACTAACAGTGGAAGCTAGGATGTGCATTTTGCTCCTGTTTAGGACTCATCATCTGAAAGTACCTGTAGTTCCAAGTCAGTGTTGATGTTCCCATTGATGCGTGAACCCAGCACCCATCGTTTTAAACGTCAAAGCTTAATTTTACTAGACCCTATTCAGCCACAAAAACCTCATGTCAGCAAATAGTGAATATTTCGGCCCAATCAGTCAATGTGCGTCGGTGGTATAGCGGTTATCACGCTCGCCGACCATGCTCATGGTCCGGGGTTCGATCCCCGGCCGGCGCACTCCTTTACCTCACTGAGCCAGAAGTAATGCTGGTAAAGAGGAAAAGTTGGGCATGAGGCTAGCAACCCCATCCTGTAAAATTAAAAATGAACACTGCTACAGAAACTTCAAGCCACTAACTTGGGGCCCTATGTTCCACTGGGAACGTGAAGGAAAAATTATTATTATTATTATTAGTCAATGGGAAAACACAATCAACTTGGTTTTTGTCATAAAAACCTTTTGACCCACTCAGTTCTAGTGAAACGTATTCCTTATTCTGAATAAAATTAGTCAACTTTCAGCTGTTTCGAGAGTAAATGTGCTTTCCTTCATGAGGATTGTTTTTTTGGTTAGATGTCTATGCGTGTCTTCATGTGATAATTAAAGAAAGGTGGGTCAACAAAGAGATTTGTGGTTACAAGGCAGGAGATCGAGCTCCTAGACTATTAAGACACTGGGATCTGAATCAATTCCCAGCCTATGAATTCTAACTTCTACCAGCCAATTTATGACATAGCGAGACCACTTCGTAATGTATTCTTCTTCGATGAGTTACTGCCTCACCTTCAACCTGCTATACCCTACTGGTCACGGCTTCTCACGATTTCATGAATTAGTAAAAGTTAAAATCTTTGGAGTGGCTATTGGACTGGTGGGTCAGCAGGAGAGATGATTAATAAACTCGTGGAGAAATCTAAAACCTCACATCCTTCAAATTGAAGTATGCGCTGAGGATGTTGCCTAGTAGAGCAATGAAAGCTTCACAAATAAACTATTCAGCTAGCTCAGAGAACACGGCCACATCAAAAGTCCACATCAAAGCAGAGACGATACCTAAATAACTATACATCTCGTAGAACTTACCTACTTGTCAATGCAATCAATGTTGAAAATGTCACTAAGTTTAATAATAGAACATGCAATAAGATCAAATATCAAAGAACACAAATCTTCGTCATAATTTACCTTGCAAACAAGATGAGGCTCCACTACATGTTTGATGACATCCATCATAGTCACATAGAGTTCATCAAGAATTTTCGAACACTGAAAAAATATACAGATGTGAAAAAGTGTGTACAAAGATAAGACAAGGGAGAGGTGCTTATCATTTAACATAACGTCTTAAACATTATGTATCTTTATGTTTATACTGACAGGAGGATGACATTAAGTAGACCAAAGTAATCTTATTGGTTATCCTAAAATTTCCCATTGAGTCATATGAAAAAGAGAAGACGTTCAGAGAAGAGACTCTGCTAGACGGCGAATTCATTCACAAAGCTGTACAATCGCATTTATATATAATTATTTGTGTGTTTGCATGTACATGAGGTTTGTCAAGTTTAGATGATTAATTAATCAGGTAATACAAGAATGATCTAATATAGAAACAAGGTTAATTCGACTGCAACTAAAGTAACATTGACTTAGTTAGTTAGTTAGTTAGTTAGTTAGTTAGTTAGTAAGTTAGATGACGTAATATAATTGACTAAAATGTTTCAACTTAGGTCAGGATAGCAAGAGAGGTAATTACAGGTAGAAAGAGACTAAGTAGAGGTAGAGAGTAGAGAATAATGACGTCTAAATTAGGACTAAAATTGAGCAAATAAGTTGGATGATGTAACATAAACGACTAGAAATTGAGCGTTGGTCAAGTCAGTGACAGTGGTAATGAGGTGTAGAAATTAAATCGGTTGGGGGTAGAGAACAGGAGAGTTGAAAATGTAAAATACTAAAATTGAAAAGACAAAATAATACTAATCAAGAGACAGAAAAAAAGAAATAGAAATTACCTGTCGGGTATTAGGATAGATTACGTCCATTGCAAGTGTAGTGTTTGAACGGACTTTTGCTGTAGATAGAGTTCAGGACTTAGCAAGTGAATCACCATTGCTTTTGCAGTTTGGAGAAGTTTGACTCGTACACTTTATGGAAGACTGCTCCATATTCTGTAGACGACTTTGAAGTTTGTTTGGGATGTAGCTTGGTGTCCGGAATGTATCAGATGTTCTAAGATAAAGCTGTAGGGGCATCGCTTTTCTCCTTTGTAAAACCATGCTGGTGAGTGTTCGTTGATACGTTTGGAAAGCGAAAGCTGGGTACGGCCGACATACCTAGCTCCACCCGAGCAGGTGAATCGGTGGATGCACATCGATGAGGCCAGCAGCAGTAGCTTACCCTTCACATTCATACGAATAACAGGTTTCGTGGAGAAGGTTAATCTTAGTTTAGCTATGAAGAAGGTTTTCTTAAGTGAAGGGCAAAGTTGATCTTTCAATGTTTCTGCAGACGAATCCTTATAGAAGTGAAGGTTCATATAGAGGAGAATTTTCAGAACTCTAAGCGTGGGTGGATTTTGTGGTCTAGGATTCATGGATTTTTCAATAGATCATTCTGGATAACAAATCTTCAATCTGTTTAGTCATATTTTTCTCGTTGACTGATTTTGTAAATTAACATTCATCGGATAGTATAGTCAACGTTTTACTGATTAAGTCCTCACGATTCATGATTACGATTCCTCCGCCTTTATCAGGACGTAATACCATAATCCCTTCGTTTTTCATAAATTCTTTCAGCTCCTTATAATGTCTCTTTGTTAAAATGGACCTTCCGTTGAGTTTGGTATTCATAAGCCTGTGATAACAGTCGAGGATCGATGCCTTGAATTGTTTTGTAGGTTTTCATCTGATGCAGGTGTGAGATCATAAGTTTGCTTTATCATATTTTCTCTTTATTAGTATTAATTTGCCTTTTCAATTGTAATATTAATATTGAGTAGAGCCAGAGATGAGGATCTAATTGATAAGTAAATATTTCTTCGCTCAATCTTTCTCTTTTCCAATTGTAATATTTTACATTAATGAAAACAAAACACGTAGATCAGCGAAGAGTCTCTTTTCGGCGAATTCATTTTCTTAGCTGTACAATCGCAAATATATATGCATTGTTTTGTATGTATGTGTACATTAAGTTTGTCAAACAAAGTTACAATTGGTTAAGGTTACTTTTAACTAAACAAGTGAAGGTTGGTAATACAGGTCAAGAAAATTAAGTGCTAATGAAACTAGGGTAGTAAAAAAATGATGAGTTGTCACAAACAGTTGTAATAATAATAGTGAGTTTTACTCAGGATGCACATAGAAACAAAGTAGATAATACGAAACTATGTAAGAGATCTAAGTGGATACAAGAATTATAATTGCTTAAGGTTATTTTAACTAAACAGGTAAAGGTTGGTAATAAAAGTCAAGACCATTAAGTGCTAGGGTAGTAACAAAGGTGATGAGTTGTCACAAACAGTTGTTAAAAGAAGTTATGCAATAATAATATGAATAGTTTGATGAGTTTTACTCAGGATGCACATAGAAACAAAGTAGATAATACGAAACTATGTAAGAGATTTAAGTGAATACAAGAATTATAAGCAATTAAGGAACAGGCAAAGAAACAAAATTAAGTCATCAAAATAAAAATAAAAGCTCAAAACAAATCAAAACATTGTTACCATGAGAGTAGAAGTGGTTGAGTAATCTTCTTTTGTATGCACAGCTCCGGTTTTTCCATGTGAATGGCCAGAGCTTCAGCGATGCAAAGGAGACGAAACCGTATTGCCTTTGATATGTTATTCTTGACTCTGTAGATTACTTTGAAGGAGGCGTTCGTTGAAATGCAATGATCAGTGTTGACCAGGTGTTCAATTATCGCACTCCTTATTGCACCAGTATTGCCTTTTCGCAACCATGCTGGATAATGTTCTTGAATTCTCTTGGACAGGATGCGCGTCGAACGACCGATGTACCTGGCTCCACAGCAGCAGGTGAACTGGTATATGCACATAGAAGTGGCCAGATGCGGGATCTTGTCCTTGAGGCTTCTGCAGATCAGTGGGCGACTGGAGAACACTATTCGTAGCGTTGCTGCAAAGAACGTTCTTCTCAGAGATGATGTGATCCTTCTCTTGAGAATATCGCTTGCTAAATCTCCCTTGAAATCCAAATTCATGTAGATTTTCTTTTTAGGCGCAGTTAAAGTTTCGTTTTTCCGAATTATTGGTTTCATATTTTTGTCGATAAATCTTATTGGGTATCCATTTTGGATGAATATTTCTCTCAGAATATCTAATTCTGTTTCCAGAACGTCGGGACTACAGATGCGTCGGATGCGGGTAGCAAGTGATTTAATTAAATTTCGCTTTTGTTGAATGGGCACCCAGCTATAGAAGCTTGTTAGTTGACCATTCCACGTAGGTTTTCTATGGATTGATCTTCTGAGGCTCCCATCAGCTCTTCTTGTTAGTTCCACATCATTTTACATTCTCAACTCTCCTGTTCTCTACCCCCAACCGATTTAATTTCTACACCTCATTACCACTGTCACTGACTTGACCAACGCTCAATTTCTAGTCGTTTATGTTACATCATCCAACTTATTTGCTCAATTTTAGTCCTAATTTAGACGTCATTATTCTCTACTCTCTACCTCTACTTAGTCTCTTTCTACCTGTAATTACCTCTCTTGCTATCCTGACCTAAGTTGAAACATTTTAGTCAATTATATTACGTCATCTAACTTACTAACTAACTAACTCAATCTTACTTTAGTTGTCTGTCTTGCTGACCTTGTTTCTATATTAGATCATTCTTGTATTACCTGATTAATTAATCATCTAAACTTGACAAACCTCATGTACACAAACACACACAAATAATTATATATAAATGCTATTGTACAGCTTTGTGAATGAATTCGCCGTCTAGCAGAGTCTCTTCTCTGAACGTCTTCTCTTTTTCACATGACTCAATGGGGATTTTTAAACCGTCATTTTACCCTGGTCTGGACATTTTAGGACTGAGTAGGTCAGGAAGTTGTGGTAGCAATACAGTAGAACAGAATGAGTGGTTTCTTGTGTTCAGACCAACTCCTCTTTACACGATCTCCTCCTGACGCGCGATATCACACAGCGGCCTGCCTCCTCAGCGAGTGTCCAATCCATCTCCACTTTCTCCAACTGTATATTTGTTGGGTTCTTGTTTTGTTTGTTCCCATAGTTTCTTGTTGGTGATTCTTTCCGGCCAGCCGGCCATCTGATCTTCAGTATAGAGCCAGCGAGGACAGTTGTTGGTTGATAAAGGTCTGCAACAGGCTGTTGGAAATATTCTTTGTGACCCGCCTGCCAAGGTTCTGATCCGTATTGAAGGGCTGACTGACTTGACGTTGTTTATATTGAAAATCCGACCGAATTTTGTTGTTGATGCTGAGTTGAGTGACGAAGATTTCCAGATTGATTTCAGGTTGATGATGAATGTGTTACTCGCCTTCCCTATTCTCGATTTGACATCCTCGAACGTTCCGACTGCCTGTAGTTGAGAGAGAATGCTCCCTAGATAAGTGAATGAAGTAACCTCTTTCAAATCCCTCCCGTTGATAGTGATTGGCGCTGAATGTTTCTGCTGCTGTTGTTGTTGGTTGGTTGGTTATTTTCATAACCTCTGTCTTGTCTATGTTCACATGGAGTCCTGTCTTTGCTGCTAAGGACTAAACACGTGATATTGATTCTTCCCTTGTGACTGACAGATACAGCTCAATTCGTATGCCTACACCGCCTGGCTTAGGCGTTTAATTTTATCTAAGAATTCATCAATTGAATGTCACTGAATTCAGTTTTGCTTATGAAGTAAAGAAACGAAATAAGCGCACTTACTTGTACCTCCAGTCTTACATAATCGCACACGTGCACAAATACAGCCTGAATTTCTTTAAGAAGTGCATCGGACAGTAAAATATTTTTGGTTTCTGTTACTCCCATCAAGCAAACTGGACAAACTGTTAGGTGAACAAATATAAGAGACAAGAAACCAAACAGGTAAGAGAGAAACAAAATAAGGCTTGAACAAAGTAAGAACAGTATAGTGAACAGGGTAAAATGATGGCATTATATTTCATTGATTCATGTCACCTGTGCACAGTTTAATATCAGTCGTGGGTCAGAATAGCTCAATGGTAAACTTTCCAACTGACCACTGGGTGATATGGGCTCCGATCTCAGAAGTGACTTGAGTTACTTCAAGATTGCAGATAGGTACAGCTAACTGATAAATACCAACAGGCACAAAACCCAAATCAAGCGGGGTCTTCTACCGACTGACTTCAACCATCTGATATCAACAATTACCAGTGCAGCGTGATAGCAAGCCACCTAGTGGCATAGTGTCCACATCGCAAAACTGGCTGATAGAATGAATTCTACACCAACAGCAAGGACTAGACACATCACACTAGTTACCAACTTGTTTTCAATCAAGATACTGTAGACACTGGTCATAAACATGGTGAGAATTATTATCACATGACTAAGTAGCATTGCCGAAAGAACTAGGAGCCTTGTTAAACTAAAAATCTCCAGTAGCAAAAACAATAGTAGAGATAATAAATAAGCTGAATGATTACCAACCACTTCACACTTCATAACAACTCACATAAATCTCATATCGGCTTCAATTACCATACGTCTGTATATGTTATAAGAACTCACATTTCGCACAACAGGAAATGCTGATACTTAATAGCCTGAAATGAAACACCGACTGACGGACAATATTTGTGATTTAAACCCCTAATTTGCTATGATAGTCATATAGGCACCAAAAGAAATTCTCCCCAGTTACCTGTATCATTGTGTCAGTGGCACAGCGGTAGAATGCTCGCCTACCATGCATGTGGCTCGGAGTTTAACCCCAGACGGACGCAATCCTCCATTCATACCATTCACATTAACTGGTAATGTATGTCAAGCAGATGTAAATGGTTTAAACACTGGACAGTCGTTTCACGCGCTCCCGGTAGTTTTAACTAATTCAGCCATCTGAACAAAGTCGGACCGACTGCACCGTTTATGCTGTCCTTCTAAGGCAGATGAAATCGTCATTTGGTATTTGGACCAATTCCATCTGTTCAGCAAGCATTACTAGTTAGTTTTGAAGGGTACACAACAACTCGTTCTAACCAATTAGAAGTAGTCTGTAGTTTCAGTCGTATTTTAGCTTTTAAAAATTGTCTACTTATAAGTAGTATAAATTATTCAACAAAGGTTTAAAGCGTTGTGTTCAATAATGTACATTTAATAAAACTTCGATTAAAGATTCATACAATTCTTCCTATTAGCAAATTTGGCGGAATTATATGAGCTCATTTAGAATTGTTTCACAGATTATTCCTAACTGCTCACAATTTAAACACTACTAAAAATACTGAATGTAAATCACACTACTTCAGAAATATTTGAAAGGAGGAAGAACAAATATTGATGGACCAATCGATTTTTGCGTTTTTCCCTTTTGTTCCTACCAAGTGGTGCTTGACTGAATGGTTGACTTTAGTAAGTCTGAATGTTCATTTTTTTGAATCATTCTTTTTGATGTCTAGTGGGATTCGGCTGGGTTAAGGTAACAAGATTTATCACGAAATGACTTCAGTTACACAACAACTGAATACCAGAAAGTACTGTTCAGATGATTCGTCCTTGTCTGGAACTCTTCAGTGTCACACCGCGACCACTCCTCCAAGGATAAAAAAAGCAGGAACCTGTAAGTTACAGCATGAGCTCATCGACCATTCAGCCATTAGGACGGGTTCCAGTGGCCCATGAATTCGTATTTCAGTCGATTTACCAAGTATATCACGACCATCAGAAATTGGCATACCCATCTTGATTGACGCCTTTGAATGTGACCTCACACCAGGACTTTAGGTAGTTTCATTCTGTTGTCAGCCACTTGAGAGCAGTTTTAGTTACAAGGTGAGCTCGTAGACCATTAAGCCACTGCGACCCCATCCAACGGACAGAGCATCAATTCCAACTCCTGACAATTCACGATATAGAGCGATCAATAGCCAATATCATCTGTGGCGAGTGTTTATCGTCACACCCAATGGCTACAACTCCTAACTAGAACCCAGATAAATACCCACCTGAATAGGGCCAGTCGCTAGTGAGCTCGCTTTGTAACCGGCAGGTCCTGAGTTCGAAACCTGGTGGTGGATGCACACTGATGAAGAATCCAAACAAGGCTGACGAAACCGCTGTCCAGTGCTCCCTAGAGGTTTTCCAAATGTTCTCTAACCGATATCAGCTCATAATGAGATCCTATGACCAATCAAATCCCTGCAAACGAATATATGAATATAAACAGGATATGTGTATATATATGTACTTACAGTTTATTTTTGGTGGATTCGGGCACATTCCAGCAACCTTTTAATAGATAGACAGACAGACAGACATACAAGAAAGAAAGCTGTAATAATTTGGCAATACAAAAAGACACAAATAAACTGGGATATGGGAACCAAATTATTACATAATATGATGTAATTATGATCCAACCAACAGAAAGCAGCCAATCATTAAAGGCAGTAGAAACGAATCAAGAGAAAAGAGAACAGTTTCTGAAGACCATTTAAGATAAAACAAAAAACAACAACCAAGAAGCTCGACACTCTGTGAATAACAAGAATAATAAGAATAAAAATGCTCTACGTGTATATTAGAGTAGAGCCATATTGAGATGAGGATCTAATTGAAAAGTAAATATTTTTTCTCTGCCCAACCCTTCTGCTTTCTAAATGTCTAAATAGGGATTATTTTATGTCTATGCAATCGTGATCTAAATGTTCTAGCCTATGGTATGTATTCAAAAGAAATACGTCCAATCCTTGTTCCTACGTTTCTCAAGTCCTCATCTGCGTTACCATATTTTTTTATCCGAACTTACTATCTATTTTGTTGTTAATACTGCCTTAATCCTTAACTGCACAAAAAGTCAAGTTTGTCAGCGATTATTTATTTTTGATTTATTTTTGATTACAGCTTGATTTCACACAGTATTTTTGATGCAAGTATGGAATTTTCAGCATGGATATCGGTAGTCCAAATTTTGCAGGCTGACCATCGATATCAGGTGTGTGTGTGTCGGATCACGAATTGATATCAGTTAGAGAACCATTGGGAACCAGCCAGGGAGTACTTGACAGCTGGTGTTTCATCCTAGTTTGGAAATCATTGGCAGTACGCTGGCACCCACTGGGATTTGAACACAGGACCTTCTGGTTACAAGGAAAGCTGACTCGTATACCATTCAGCCACTAGGACCCGATTCGATGACTTCTACCAATTCGTGATATAGCACGACCCCAACCATTGTCGTTGGTGGGACATCCATCCTCACATGTGATAGCTAATTGGACCTCACTGGTCACGACTTCTCACTAGAACTGACTCCAGGAAACTCCATCCTGTAGCAAGTCACTAGCGAGCATCATATTAATTTTCTATAGTTTGGTTTGTAAGGGTTAGTTATGTTTATGTGAGTTGATCAGAGATTGATATTTTTATTTTTTATTTTTTTATTTTTGATTACAGCTTGATTCCACACTGTATTTTCTTGGTACAGATATGGAATCTTCAGCATGGATATCGGTAGCCCAAATTTTGCAGGCCGACGATGGATATCAGGTGTGTGCCACCGACCAAGGGAATTAGTGTGGAAGAGTACAATTGAATTATGGATAGACTTTATTTTGATAAAATATCACAGTGTTATACAGTAAGTAATATTTACTGATGACCGCGTTTCGAGTACAATTTATTACTTCAGCTAATAATCATAATCAAGGTACTCATTCACACAACTTTCTAACTTCGTTTATATAATGCAATCATTATTGTTCATCGCTTGATTCGATTGGTAGTAGCGGTATTTCTCATATTTCCGGTATAAGTGATGAGTCATTCCTATTGCACGTGTGTTGGGGGTGTAGACTCGATGAACCAGGCGGGATTCAGGAAACAACCTCTCGCACTCTCCACCTACCAATATTACTTCTTTGAATTTTGAATGTCCCATCCACACCATTGTGTGGTTGTGTGTCAATGCATGCATAAGTGTTATTGCTGAGCCTTTGTCTAAATTACTTATCATCATGAGATCAACCATTCTTACCTTAGATAAACTCTTATGTTCCCATAGGGAGTCTGAATACCTCCTATCTACTAGTGTAACCTATGTGGGGTTGACTTCACTCAGAGTCATTGAAAGGTTATTTGTAAATTATATTATTTTGTCTAAGTGGGTAAAAATACCCTACACAATTATTGAATTGAATTTTTGATTTTCCCGTCGATTGATTGGACCGAAGTGCTCGGTCTCATGGCCCAAGTGGTCTAGTGGATAACGCTTTGGCGTTTGAAACTATGGGTACTGGGTTCGAGCCTCGGTGGGAACATCATCACTCACTGAGAAATGCAGGTACATCCAGCTGACGAGTCCCAAATAGGACGAAATGCGCTTTATCCTGGATTCCACTGCTAGCCACCATCCACCAATTGTATACCCTACACAATGACTGTGAGTGAAGTCAACTACATAGGTCATACTAGTAGATCGGGAGTAGTCAGACTCTACCTATCAGAATATAAGAATTTAGATAAGGTAAAAATGGTTGACCTCACGAAGATAAGTAATTTAGACAAAGGCTCAGCAATAACACTCATGTTTGCATTAACACACAACCATACAATAGGATGGGGGAGGGATAAAATTCTAAGAAGTAATATAAGTAGGTGGAGAGCGAAAAAGATTGATTACTGAATCCAGGTTCATCGACGTCTACAACCAACACACGTGCAAAAGGAATAACTCATCAGTCATACCGGAAATATAGAAAGAAAATCCTACCGCCAATCATCAAGTCAAGCGATGAAAAATAATGATGGAATTATGTAGACAAAGTTAAAAAGTTGTGTGACTGAGTACCTTGATATGATTATTGGCTGCAGTAATAATAAACTGAACTCGAAACGTGGTCATCAGTAAATATTACTGTACTGTATTACACACCATTGTGAGACATAATTATCACAACAAAAATTTACCCATAATGGAGTTAACAGTTAGTATTTTGCATGGAGGATTTCATCATGAGCTGACATCAGTTAGAGAACCACAGGAAAACCTGGGAGTACTGGACAGCTGTTTCTTCCTAGTTTGGGACTCTTCAGCAGTACGCACCCATCACAGGGGTTCGAACCCAGGACCTTCTGGTTACAAGGTGAGCTCGTAGACCATTGAGCCACTGGGACCCGATCCGATGGTCCTTGAATTCTACCTTCTGCCAATTCACGATATAGCGCGACCACTTCGCAATGTCTTCTTCGATGAGTTACTGCCTCATCTTCAACCTGCTATACCCTACTGGTCACGGCTTCCCACTAGAACCCCAGGTTAACTACCTGAATAGGCCAGTCTATAGTGAGCATCAGATTTAGTATTTTGAGTGAGTTTATTCGTTTGAATAATATTCTAATGCTTGTGGTCAGGGTTCTACTCTTATTCGCAGAAATTGTGGACCCCTCCTAGTTTTTTTATAACCTCTAATAAGTTCGGAAAAGAGGGATGCTTGGGTTTGAGGTTAGTAACTCCACCTCGTAAAAGCGATGACCTTGGTAGCGGAACTTCACTGCCTAAACTTGAATGTTCCACGGGGAAAATCTTCATTCAGACATTTATAAAACACACAAAATAATTGAGCAGCGAAGAATATCATTTTCGATAATTTCCTCATCTTCTGGCTTTACAATCCTATATGTACATGTTTATTTACATAGAATATTCTAGAATAGTAATCAATAACAATATCAGTTTTTTTTTTACAATTAATAGTGTTTGTTCTCTGAGCTGGTCGGTTTTGTTGCGGAGCTTTCGTCGTCCTTCTGGACAACATCTCCCTTCAGAGCAAGTTTTTGCATAAAGTGAAATGATTTAAATTTCTTCATGAGTGATAGATATAATTGCGTCTCCCGGTAACCATCCTTAAATATGTGCTGACCATTTACTATTGACTTGGGTTTTAAACTTTCTCGTTATTAGTTGGCATATTTCGTCTATATTAACGTGTTTGTTAACTGCATTTTTTCTTGAATACCAGAGCTTCTAGGAATTCCCTGACTGCACTTTTGGTGTTTCCTCGTTCTAAGATTTCGACATTATCCCAATCATCAAATTGATGTCCATAATTGTCTATATGCATTGATATGAAAGGGGAATATACATCGTGTCTTTTCACGACTAATTTGTGTTCTTGGGGTTCTGATTCGAAGGGGACGCCCACTTCGACCACCGATGTAATGCCTGGTACAGTTCATACAATTTATTTTGTAAATGGTAATAATTTGATCTCTTTTTTCTGTTGCATCTTTCGGTATGCATCATATCGAATTAAGTGATTGTGTGGTGAGAGCAGGCTGCTAGCCGATTGGTTGGCACTAATCTACGTTAAGGTCTAGGTCACTAATATGGGTCGTGAACAAGGCTGAGTCAACAACCAATCACAGCGAAGTTAACGTGGCAAAATATGATTCGCAGATAGAGAACTCTATTTGTCAAGGAATCCCGAAACAACCAATCAGAAGCCTGCGTTTGTCTACCTAAACAACCAATCAGATGACTGCGCTTGTCTATAATAATGTTGTCTGAAATATGTATAAATACGTGTTGATTTTCATAATAAAACGATCTGTTGCTTCGCCCTTGTCTTCTGTTGTTACATTTGGTGTCGCTGCCTACCGACAAATGGAAAGCCTATGCCCTGCTGTTTTTGATGGAGACATATGGATCTCCGGGCAGGACTTCAAGGCTTCTGCGCAGTTGAGTGGCGTTCAAGATCTGTCAGCGATGGAGCTGCTACTTGGGACGCTGCTGGGAGGTCGGGTGAAAGCAGCATATGAAAGTGTGAGCCGAAGTATGGACGAATGTTCGACAGGGTCAGGCAAACAGTTTCCAAAGTGGGAAGGACCATATATGGTCACTTCGAGATGGGGTTACGCAGACACAGTCGCAATGGCGAACAATAAGAGGCGCGTGAACGTCAGCGAGCTCCAGAAACGGATACAGCGAGACAAGCCAACGATGACGCCTGCACCAAGTAGATCAAGCCGACTTCAGTCGCACGTATTTGACGGGGGGACGAGTGTGGTGAGAGCAGGCTGCTAGCCGATTGGTTGGCACTAATCTACGTTAAGGTCTAGGTCACTAATATGGGCCGTGAACAAGGCTGAGTCAACAACCAATCACAGCGAAGTTAACGTGGCAAAATATGATTCGCAGATAGAGAACTCTGTTTGTCAAGGAATCCCGAAACAACCAATCAGAAGCCTGCGTTTGTCTACCTAAACAACCAATCAGATGACTGCGCTTGTCTATAATAATGTTGTCTGAAATATGTATAAATACGTGTTGATTTTCATAATAAAACGATCTGTTGCTTCGCCCTTGTCTTCTGTTGTTACAATTGGACTGGCTGGCTTGTGTGCTACATGTATATCAAACGGTTTCAGTATTCTAGCTGTTATTTCAGAGATATTTTTCCTGATGTATGGTAGGATGAATTTTCTTGTCATCTTTAATGATGGTTCGTTGTTGGTGTCGTGATTCGATTTTAAACACTTTTTGATGAAATTTTGTGGATAACCATTTTGCTTTATGAAGAATGTTTGTAGGTATTTTTCTTGCATTCTTTTCAACTCTGGAGTGCTACAGTGTGTGTGTTTGAACTCTCTTTTAAACAATGTCTGCACACAGTTTCTTTTGTGAGTGAGTAATTGGATTATTGGTAGTATAGTTGAGTATTTGATCTGTGCGCTTTGATTTTCTATATACTTGTGTTTCTAAAATTCCTGTGTTGGTTCTCCTGATTAAGACATATAAAATGGGATTTTGTTATTTAATTCTTCTTCTCTTGTGGTGAATTTGATGTCTTCAAATATGTTGTTTATTAATTTGTGGGTGTATTTCAAATAATATCAATTTGTTTAGTAAGATCCCAATGGAATTACAGTTCATTGAAGATGCGTGTGTTTCTCATCGGATTTCCGAACATCACCTTGCATAGTGGTTAAGTAAAGTAAAAACAAAGTCTATTCTTAATGCTATTCTATCGCATCTTGTGGATACACAGAACACAAGATTGATGTTAACCACATTTTCAGAGTCATTTACCGCCTTGAGAGTTCGATTACTAAATATTGCTGAGCCTAACTTCTGGGATCCATATTAAGTAGCCTAATCTGTGCGTCCAAAAGTAGTTAGTTCAGACATTGCCCTTACCTTGGCCATCTAACTTCGAATAATCCTCAATTTGTTGTGGGAATTTTCTCAATTTTAATTGATATTCTATTTTGCTATTATATCTTTATTATTATGATTATTGTAATTTAAGCATCTTTAATGAACTGTGGTAATTGCATTGGGATCTTACTTAACAAATCGATATTATTTAAAAAGCACACCAGTATTGCTATTGACTACTAATCTAAAATGTTCTATGTATATAAATATGCACATATAATTGTACAGCCAAAAGAGGTGGAAATTACCGAAAAAGGTTATTCTTTGCTCAATTATTTTGTTTTTTTTTATCAATGAAATTGTATGAAATTCACATGCAAAGAGGAATCCCTAGACAGAATTGCCTTCCTGGATGTCTTACTTACAAGAAAACCAGAGATGGTAGCATAAAAAGACATTTGCATAGAAAAAGTACTTGGACAGGACAATATGCACACATTTTCACAGCTTCGTTCCTATCAAGTACAAAAGAAATTTAGTGAAGACCCTCAGACACACAGAGTTAGAGCTATATGCTCAGAAGAAGTAATTGAAGATGAATCAAGCATTGCATATGATACTATGATCCAAAATAGCTATCCCTACAAATTTATCAAGAAACACATGACAAAGAAAGCGGCGGAAAAGGACTACTCACTGTCTGTCAACAAGAAGCCACTTTATATACGACTACAATTCAAGGGCGATATACCAAGTGAAATAATTACGAAGAAATTAAGAAAATCAGTTCAGAGAACTTTTAATGCTGGTGAATCACACGTATTATTCTCTACACGACCGATGATAATTCCTCCATTGATAGATAAAGTACCTAGACTGGCCACTTCCAACTTTATCTACCATTTCAACTGCGCTTGTGGTGGAGCGAGTTATATCGGTCGTTGCTCTAGGGAACTTGATTTTTCGTGCTCGAGAATATCTCCCAGCATGGCTAAGTAAAGGTATAGCGAAAATAATCAACAGTTCGATATTAGACAATCTAGTTCACATCAGCCACGAAGCCAGCGTAGATGAATCCTTCTCTATATAATATACCGGGTGCCAAATAAATCGCCGAAAAAAACATCGAAGCACCGCATCCTCCAAACAGCAGAGGCTATTGCGATTTGCCTCAACACAACCAGTGCTCTGTGTTCAAAAGAAGCAAGTCCAACCACTAAAATTGCCCTGACCTTCAGTAGAAACTATAAACTTATGAATTTGTAATATTATCTTTTTTAATTCTTCTGATATTCAGCTTATTTTATGTTGATGCTAGTGAGCTCTAATCTATCAATATTATTGATTCGATGTTATTTAAACAGCAACATTAATGTTGTTCATAACACTAATTCATTCATTCATTCACTATAATGGATGGATATATAACTGTAGAGCCTGATGATGAAGGGGTTATCGAAAAGAGTACTCTGTGTTCAGTATCCATTCTTTTGAAAAAGGTATCAGACAAAAAAGGGTTTCACTAATTCTTGTAACTTACTGCACATAAATCAGCTGACGAGTAAGTGAATATTACGTCATAGGCGAAATCCAGAAATTCAGTTAATATTCGTTTACACTGAAAAATATAACCAAATATTATAGAGACCAGTTAAGCGTTAAATTTAATGTCGAGGGACAGTAGATACTTTATAAACTTCCAGTCTGTCTGTCTGTCTGTTTTCGACATAGAACTTTGCACAAATGTGCGGAAGTTCAAGTCGCCACACTCCTTGTAGCACGCGAAGCAACAGAAGAAAGTACAAGAAAAGCATAATGGAAACAGTGAGCAGAGATGTGAGACAAAGCAGGAGTAATAACGAAGAACAAAACAGTTTCATTGGAAATCATAAGTCACAAGGAGTGGATGCATCTGCGCCAGCCACTGAGAACGATTTTGAGCCATGTCACCAATTGTTTCCAACCATTGATTTTTACCGTCCCGAGGACCCCAGCCTGGAAGTCTACACCTTCCTACGTGGCTTAGACCAACTGTTGTGGATTTCATTGACTGGTGCCAAGTTTTTGTTTGACCACCGCTAGCTTTTTTCTAGCCTGACCCTATATCCGCTAACATTGCTCGTCGAGGGAGGCGATGATTAGGCATACGTAACACATGTCCTAACCATCTCAGTCTATGTAACTTCATAACCTCGTCGATTGATTTCCCCTGTTTACCTAGAACTCTACGCCTAACCTCAATGTTGCTCACCTTATTATGCCACTTTACACGGGAAATAGAACGCAGTCATCTATGATCAAAGACAGCTAGTCTTTTCATGTCTTCCACTCTCAGTGGCCAGGTCTCACAACCATAAAGGAGGACGGAGCGGACTGATGAGCAGTACACCCGCCCTTTGGTCGATAGTCGAACATCTCGTCTACGCCAGAGTCGGCGTAAACTGGCAAATGCGAAACGAGCCCTCTGTATTCGTGCTGAGATTTCGTCAGAGATCAGCCCGTTGGCACTGGCTGATGGTACTTCCCAAATAAGTGAAGCGGTCAACGTGCTCTACCACTTCACTTCCTATTTTTAAACCAGGCGTCGATGTAGTCCAGTCCTATAACATCGTCTTGCATTTGGCGGGAGCGAATCGCATGCCAAACATTCGTAGATTACAGCTCAAGGTGTTCAGAAGACTCTGCATTTCGTCAGCGTCTTCGCCTAGAAGGACTATATCGTCTGCATATTCTAAGTCAACGAGATTATTCCCCGGTAGCAAGTCAATCCCTGAGTCGCTGAAGTCACCTAGGGTTAAGTCCATTGACCTAAAGGCAGCATTCGACTCTGTCGATCGAGAAACTTCCAGTGGCTTAAGCTTAATAGTCTTACGTTAAACCCCTTTGTATTTCAGACAGTTGACTTCACCTTCAGGCATAAACGTGATCTACGTGAAATGGTTCACATTCACGAGATGCTTGTAGCATAGCAGTCACTCAAACAGAAACTAAGTTAAGCAATAAATATCTTGAAATGGTTCTACCCTTTGGCTTTTTTTTGGTTATTCCATATATCTAATTGATGGATGATGACTAGCAGTAGAATTCAGGATTATATGCGCATTTCGTCCTATCTAGGACTCCTCAGCTAACTGGGTATACCTGCATTACTCAGTGAGTGAGATGATGTTCTCACCGAGGCTCAAACTCAGTGCCCGTAGTTTCAAACGCCAAAGCGCGTCATCCACTCGGTAGGAACATCATCACTCACTGGGGAATACAGGTACATTCAGCTAGCTGACGAGTTCCAAATAGCACGAGATGTGCATCCTAACATATTCCTGCAAGAAACTGTTCAGCCAGAATGAGAAAGACAAGCTGTCGCATTAAGCCACTTCAACATGCATATATCAGTTTCCTTATACCTGCTTAGCTGAGTACATCGACCGTACCATGCGCCAACTTGAAAAAGGCGCTCGTGTACACCTTTCAGCCTGGCTAGTAAAAGGAGATCGTAAATGTGTAGACAGTTCAGTGACAGAACTTCGATAGTACTGTTGAACAAAGAAGGAACGTTAAACGCCTCATGTAGGATTTTTAATACGGCTGGAATTAAGGTGGTATTTAAACCAACCAACCAACCAACCAACTTTCTCAGAGATAAATTTCGGCCGCTTAAGGATTCAGTCAATCTGAATTGGGATGCTTAAATACTTGTCTAAATACCATTTAATGACTGTGATGTCAATCTCACGGGTCGAACAAGTAGATCGACGTCAATTAGATGACTGGAAATTTAGCCAGACCTAAAATATATTTTACCCTGTTAATTTAGAAAAACTCAACCATTTTAATGTATTCACTTGCATGTAAACACAGAATAGAGTGGGATATGGTGAAGTGGTTAGATAGGAGCAGGGGCTATTCACTGTATTGACACCGAATACGTGCAAATCAAATGACTCAACACCTATCTCAGATATATAGAAAACTGCAGTTTAAAAAAACAGGAAGGAGTGGAGCTATATAAAGCAAACGTCATGATTATGAGCAATAAATTGTGCTCAAGACTACATACAATTATTAACACTGTATCTTTGTGTGCTACATAATAAAGTATGATCGTATGTTATTTGCGGAGATTTGCTTGATATCGGTTAGAGAACCACTGGAAAACCAACACTGGAGTACTGAACAACTGTTTCGCTCAAGTCCGAAACTCTTCAGCAGCACTCACACATCACCAGGGTTCGAACTCAGGGCCTACTGACTACAAGATAAGCCCACAGAACATTCAATCAGTCACTTGGACCCCATTCAATCGTGCATAAATTCCAACGTCTGCCAAACTGGGATCAAAAACAGCTATCCAGTACTCCCTGGTGGTATTCCAATGCTCCTCTAGCTAGCTGGTGGTAACTCGTGATGAAACCTGTAAAATATATAAACATGAAGTAACCTTATCTAATATAGAATTACAATGGAATAAAGTTAAGTAGTACAAAATATAACTAATTAATAACAATGATAATAGTAATAATAATAGTTCTCTTACAGGTGTATAGATATTTTTTAAATTTTGACAAGTGACTTCTATGTGTTCATGGACGAAAGCTTTACTACCGAAGACGAATGTTTTAGCCGACCATAGTGCAGCCTTACAACCAAAACAAGCTGAAAATTAAGAAAATGGAAAGTACAGCGCACCATAAGAAGTAATAAACCTGCATGGATTTTGCCACTGATAAGAAAAAGCTACTCTGGTACAGAAGACAGCTGAAAAAAAAATTCTAAGACTTACAAGGATTTGCAGGATTTTTATAATCATCAAAGTTTTGTAATGCATTATGCAGAATTTTGATTAGTGTTTGCTAAAATACAAATTTTAAAGAATGGGTGAATTTTTATTAAAAATGGTTTTAGTATATAAAACAAGCAACAAAGTTTAATAATGAGGATCTAATAAATTCATCAAATTTCGGCAGAACTCGTCAGCTGCTCGGTACTCTACATACATGGATATATATACTTTTGAAATTACATTGGGAGATATAACACTGATAAGTAAATAAACTACATTGAATTAATCCTGCATGAAGGCAGATGCGAATGTTTTCCAGGTCATGTTCAAATGGATAAAGGGAGAGAGAGTATGAGAGATTGAAATTAAGATAAATTGCATTACACTTCAATTACATCACTTAGATAAACAATTAGACATTAGGGAATATAACGGGAATTGCAAACAGAGTATTATCAATAGAAGTAGTGATAGTTATAAAAACATTAATAATAATGTTGAAGTGAGTTAAGATAATCCTACTGATACAGGATAGTTTTAAATGAATCAAGAATAATAATAATAGGGGTGAGAAAAACAAGTAAAACGTATTACCATGGTAGACTCAGAGTGACGACCATCTCCTTTTGAACACACAGACTTGGTTTATAAATTGCACAAGCCTCCTCTGCAATTCCAAGCATCTTCCTGTTTCTTTGTCTGCTGACAATAGCTGTGAATGACTTGACAGCGTCGATTTCATGTCCATAGTCCACAAGATGTTTTGTTATTGAGGTTTTCGACACTTCGCATTCATTTGTTTTCAACCATTTTGGCGAATGCTTCATCATGCGAGTAGACAATCGCCTATGTATTTGCTGCCACAAACACACTCAAATCGATATATGCGGCAGTTTAAAGTGTCGACGATAGGCGGCTTGTCTTTCACAGATTGTTGAAGCACTCGCTTATTGGTGTGAAGGAAAACAAGTTTTGCAGCATAACAAGTTCTCTTGATAACTTTATCAAGTCTTCGTTTGACTAATTCCTGTACATCATCTCCTTTGGACGGCAAACTGATATAGACAGATTTCTTCAGAACTGTTTGGATAGTTTTGCAGAGGGTAGTTTCTTTAGAGCATTTACTAATGAACTCCTCAGGATATCCATTCTTAGATAAAATATCCGTAGGAGCTTTTATTTCATGCTCAGTTGTACTGTCAGAACAAATTTTCGGTGCTCTATTGAACAGTGTTCCGACCAAGTTCTTTTTTATACTAGGTTGGGACAAAGCTCATGAAATGCATGTCCTGACCTGTCCATGAAGACTTTCTAAATATAGATCTTTCGATTGTGCCATCAGTCGTTTTCATTAGAAAAACGTCTGTTTGCAATTCTTGATATATTCTCTAATGATTAATTGTTTATCTAAGTGATGTAATTGAAGCGTAATGCGGTTTATCTTAATTTTAATCTCTCACATACTCCCTCTTCCCTTATCTATTTGAACATGACCTGGAAAACATTCGCATCTGTCTTCATGCAGGATTAATTCAATGTAGTTGATTTGCTTATCAGTCTTATATCTCCCAATGTAATTTCAAAATTATGTATATCCATGTACGTAGGGTATTGAGCAGCTGACGAGTCCGACCGAAATTTGATTAATTCATTAAATCCTGCTTTATTAACCTGCTTTGTTGCTTGTTTTTAGTATAGGAGTACAGATAAATATATTAATCTACGAAGGATCCTCTGTTGACTGTTGTCATTTGTCATACATGTATACTACAGGCGCGATCACTCACTAGCTGACATCATTTAGAGAACCATTGAAAAACTAGCAAATACTTGACAGTTGTTTTGTCCTATTTTGGAACTCTTCAGCATTACTTGCCCACCGGGTTTTGAACCCAGTACCCTATGGTTACAAGGCAAACGTCTAAAGTATTTAGCCCCTGGAACCCGATCTGATTAAGCATGAGTTCCAGCTTCTGTCATTTCGTGATATATGCCGCAACCAGCAGCTAATGTTATAGTTATTTTACTTAGTGGACACTCCACCGTTCATGATTTCTCACCAGAACTTTAGGTAATTTCATGTATAAAGCGATTCACCAGACTAATTATCAACTGTTGGTTCGCAGGGATTTGATTGGTGATATGTTCGATCACGATCTGACATCAGGTGGTGTAAAAAAACTACAAATACTGGAAATCTAACTAACTCTAGCATAGCTACTGTCTTACACTACTCATAGGGGTGCAATATTGCTGGTTGGGTAGGTTGGCATTCATTAGCTCACTATATATTTTCTAATCTTAACGAAACTCATGTCTTCACTACAAACTCGAACCTTCAGTCAGTGACTTTAACATTGAGGATTTCTGCTCTTACCTTATCTAACATGTTAATTTTGTAAACTTTTTCGGTAGGTTTTCATCTCTATTTAGGATTAGATTGCTATGGAATGGTTAAAGGCAATCGCAGGAATCATCGGACTTAGATTTCATGATTGCTGGAATTTTTCAGCAAGGCGTATCTGAAAGAGACGAGGGACTAGGTGGATGATATTAGTTGGTTGCAGGATTTCACCATGAGCTGATATTGGTTAGAGAACCATTGGAAAACAACCTGGGAGTACTGCCAGTCATCTGTTTCGTCAGCTTTGTTCGGGACTCTTCATCAGTACGCACCCACCCCGCTGGGGTTCGAACCCAAGAGCTTCTGGTTACAAGGTGAGCTCGTAGACATTATTTACAACCTAGCGCTCAATGAAAGTATCCATAACAGTCTTACAAGAGGTCAGTGGCAAGCCTGAATGGCTGAGTGGTAACGTCTATGATTGCAGCACTGAGTGACACGGGTTAGAATCTCAGAAGGCACATGAGTTTCTTCAAGGCTGCGGATGTGCTGCAAGGGTGCTAACAAGCCGGAAACCTAGGTGCAAGGCTTCACGTGACGCACTATTGCAGTAAGAGACGTCACCGCTGAGGTAATTGGTCTATCTGTTATAGATTGGTCATGATACTAGAATCTAACATGATGAGCTTTGAGTTCAGGGAAGAAAAGGCTTCAATGACAAAGGTGGTTTCAATAACCTGGTCTGTCAATAAACCGGAATATATATATATATATTTGATAGATTGAAGACCTACAAAGTTTTTGAATCACATCTAAAATCCAGCCAAGTGTACTACCTCAAATGATTGTCTTTAAAAAACAAGAGGACTCATTAAAAATCGTTATCCCTACCGTTCTACCTTTAAAAATTATAAGCATTCATTAAAAATAAAAATAATGAATAGTTAAACTTACATTAAAAATTTGAACGTCACTGGAAGGGGATTTGTCAACTGAGAATGCTGATGAGACTTTTAAGGGACGAAATTTTGAAAATGTGTACACACTTACCTAGTACACTAGTTAATATGAATAAAAATCGTATGAAGTTCAACATCATACTGTGGTGAGATATAAATGCTTAGAAACTAACTTTTGAATTTGTATCTAAATTTTTAATATTTATTACATAATATATATAAATAGTGATCATGAAGTTTGATTTGCTGTTTTTCTTCAATGTGGTATTTGCTAGTGAACTTTGTTTGCTTTAAAATGATCGGATAAATGAATCAAGTTAAATGTTTTGGTGTTCGAATAAAGTAACACCGTCAAATTGAGCGCGATAACACCTTATCATTCTATTTTATTGATTTTTGTCAACTGTATACAAACGAAAACAGCGAGTTGGATGCGCGGGGATAAATACTCGTTGATAACATTGACTGATAGTGGTGATATACATCAAGAATTGATGGAAGAGTCATCGGATTCCACTTCAGTGGGTAAATGGTTAAGAGGATTGTTACACAACCTAGGTGGAGGGGGGTTCTTGGTCAGATTCCTGTTTCTGTCATGGATGCCTAATACTGAAGATCTCCAAACTAGAATGGAACAGCTGACCAATAAAATATCAGAGAAAATGCGCTAGTCATTTGATGCGTTTGGGAATCAAATGTTTTTCAGGTTTGTCCGTCTCTTGCTACACTACAAGGCTATACTGCAAGCTCTCCAACAAAAGCAGAAAACTTGAGTGTAATCAAGCTACTGAAATCCACGAAGACAGCAGGATCAGACGGAATTCCTCCCAAAGCACTGAAGATGGCCACAAAGATTACGATAGATGTTTTAACTCCATCACTGCAAAAAGTTTGGAAAGAAGGAAAAGTGCCTACTGAATGGAAGAAAGGCTGGCTACCTTGTCAAGCTAACAGAGAAGGGTGACCTAGGCCTGTACAAGAACTGAGTAGCGTAGAATCATGCTCTTGTCCACAACAAGTAAAATACTAAATCTCATCATCCTGGAGAGAATAAAGTTTGCATTGGATACAGAACTCCGTTAGCCACACCGGAATAAACTGGATTCAGGAAAGCCAAATCATGTGCTGATTAAGTTGCAACTCTCCCAATGATCATCAAACAAAGAAAAGAATGGTAGTCAAAACTCTACCTGAATTTCATCAATTTTGAAAAAGCCTTCGATTGAATTGGTCGTGAAGTAGTTTGGAAAGCACTTCAACACTATCCTGTGCTCCAAATCTATCAACCTTATTCAACAGCTAGATGATAGTGGCACGTGTCAAGTGATCAATGGTGGAAGACTCAGGTAGACCTTCTTGAAGTGAAGACAGGAGTAAGAGAAGACTGGTTGCTTACTGTCACCAATGATATTCTTGACTGTGGTGGACTGGATTATGCATCAGACTGTGCATGAGAGTGGGAAGACAGGAATACGCTGGACGACAGATAAGAAAGCCCTAGAAGATCTGGATTTCGAGTGTTGATGATCTATGTTTAATGTCACACAAACTGGAAGACTTACAGATGAAAGCCAACAAACAGGCAGAAGAGGCTGTCAGGCAGCGAATACAAGACTTCAGTTGACGGAGGTGATGAAGATAATCGATCAACAGCAACAACAACAGGAAGCACCGATCACTACAAATGGAACAAATCTCAAAGAGGTCAATTCTTTAACTTATCTGCGAAGCATATTTTCAACTACAGGAGTACAGCATGAATCAGGATTTCGGAATCAGAATCACAAAGGCATCGAACACCTCCAGCACTCTAAAATCAGTTTGGAAATCTTATGCCATTGAGTATGAACAAAAAATTATTTTGATTGTCAACACCAATGTTAAGTCACTTCTTCTAAATGGGTCAGAAACCTGGAGCTTCATGAATAGCACTTTTAACTGGTTGCAGACTTTCATCAACAAGTATCTTCACCGGCTGCATACTGAAGATCAGATGGCTGGTTAGAAAAATTAGCAATAAGAAACTCTGGGAACGAAACAACCAAGAACCTAATGCTCTACAAATATGCAGGCAAAAATGGATATGGATCGGACACACTCTGAGGAGACCGTCTGGTAGCATCTCACGCCACGTCATTGCTCGACTGGAATCGGAATGGAAAACGAAGAGTGGGTTGTCCGAGGATGACATGGAGGAGATCATAAGAGGAGCAGATGAAATAATTCGACAATCGTGGGGCCAGGTTGAGATGATCGCTGAGAACAGGACGAAGTGACGAAGTGCTGCTGAAGTCCTATTTTCCACTCGGAATCCAAGGGAACAATAATATAATAATAAATATTAATCCATCTCCCCCTATATGTTAAAGTAGGTGTTAATTAATGAGAAAGTCAAGACAAAGACTACCATTTTTTTCATTCCTTGCCTTCAGAGAGGAAAATAGGGCTTCAAGCCTCAAAAATTCACTAGCGGTAATGCTACTTTTACAAGGCGGGATTGTTCATCTCACACGCAGCTCCCCTACCAAGTAGGCGCTAAGCCAGGAACTAAACGCAGACTTCCAGTGTGGCTGGTATACATTCTATCTTTGGACCACTGATACAGTGAAAGTTCTTGACTCTAGGCCACGCCAAGACTCTAACTTGTGACTCTGAATTCGGAGTCCGCAGTACTAATAACCACTCTACTTGATCTAACCACATCAGTACATATCACGAGGCCATGCAGTGAACTGTTACTGCTGCTACTTAAAGTCTTCTTTATTAATCCAATGGTCCATCGACCATTAATCACTCCATGAAATCAACGTGAATATTTTCGCAAAATGACCAACTGTAATATTGAATGGTCTTTAATGTAGACTTCTCAACCAGGAGTCGATATTTTACTTTCAGACACAAATTTCGCGATAAATTAACAAGCACTTAAAGCCACCATCGGTACATCGGTGGTTCAACGTTTAATTCCCAGCCGACTCATTCCGAAATCTCACCTAGCCAGCAGGAAGCCCGCTAGATAGGGAAGGTTTGGTGTAAGAGTAGATACACAGTCACATTGACGGAAACCAGCCGTCTATGGAGTCTAACACCTTCATGAGTGACAACCTCTGGATCCCAGATTCGACCCCTAGTGACGTTATGGGTACGTGATTCTGAATAGTCGCCAGTTAGTAGGGAACAGTAATGCAGTACTCTCTGGTTTTCCAGCTGAACTCTAACTTGCGTCAATCTATGGGTGTGACTCGAAATTAGTCTGCGGGAATCGTTGGTGTGTGATTCTTTTGAGTGGAGCTTTTTGATCTCATCTCATTGGTAATATTCCTCATGATGCTAAGTACTTGTTTTCGTATTCAGGAACCTCCATTACCTCTAATGCTACCTAACAGCACTTTAAAGACCAGATTCATCCATTTATGGTCTGAACACAAGAAACCAACCTCCGCGTTCTAATGTATAGTTGGCAAACCTTTGTTGAGAAATGCACTATCACGAAACATTCTGAAAGTGGGAAAAAGGCGACAATTTTTCACTATCTTAAAGCACTCAGCTCCTTTTCTAGACATGGCATTTCTCTTTTCTGTCTGGCCTGAAGCGCAAGAAGTCTTAGCTATTCTAGGACTAGACCTAACGTCATCCGAAACCAAATTCAAACCAGAGCCATGACATGAAAATACATTAAAAGCGACTTGTCGCCATTCTGGAGGTACATTCAAAGGTGGCAAATTTTCCTTCCGTCTAGTGAATTTCTCACCACCCTTTTCCACAGTGTGTTGGGAATCGGTGCTGTTGCGAACTGGCAGCACTGAGAACTGTCTACTCCTAAGAATGCCAGCTACTAACTATCCTAAACAAAACTACAAAGGGAGCCAGCTACTAGATGGTTCGATTATTCTTTCGCCCCTATAATGATGTTTATACTATGGATTCGCATCTCAGAATCACTATGGTCCTCCACCAGAGTTTCGTCTGGCTTCAACCTTCGCAAGCACAGTTAACCAACTTTTGAGTCTCAACATGTATGGTATTGCACCGCGTCCAACTGTCGGTGCACACAGCGCAAGGTCACATGTCTACGTCATGAGATGCGCCTAATGCTTGCATCTTAGAATTTATGGGCAAAACAACAGTAGATTAAAACTTCGATCACAGGGTGATATCGGTTTAATTATTAATTAAACACATTTCTTCTTTATACAAAGCTAAACGTTCACCAATAAAGATAAGGAGTACAGCACACTTTTCGCCTTATGGCTAACCTTGAAAGAAGAGGTCGCTGAGATAAAAAAAAATAACCACCTGGAACATCTTGTTGTCTATCTAATAAGACGAAAAATAACCTGTCAAAAGCAGTACTGGTTCGCCTAACCTTTCCATACTGGTTTGTTTATTAGATATATCACACAGTCAGTGAAATAGTATTATTTACTGGATGACAATGTTTCGAACACAATTTATTCATTGTTCATAATCATTTCATCAAATATAATCACACGACTTCAAAACTTGAGTTTTATAGTTTTCTTTGTCCTCTCCTATTTGTCGTCATTGAGGTAGTAGAATTTTCGAGATATCTTGGTGGATAGGTGTTGAATCATTCCTATTACATGTATTCTCTTCAGTTGATTCGATAAACAAAGCTTCTGTTATCAATCTCTCCCTCTATTCACCCTGTGACATTAGATTTTAAAACTGTCATTTTATCCTATCCAGCCTATTGTATGGTTGCATGTAATTGCATGTAGTGAGTACTATAGCTGAACTATTCTCCAGATTTCTTATCTTATTCGGGTAGTCTGACTGCCCCTGTTCTACTACTTTGACCGTAAGTATTTGACTTGACAATCATTTCAGCAGGGTATTAGATAAACTAAATTGTCTTATTTTAAAGGCTCCACTGTCAGGATCCTTTAATCGATAAAGTTAGTTTCTAATTGAGTTTGTGGGTGGTTTGAATCCCGGCCACTTTTGTTCCTGTCTTGTTAAGAATTCTGTGTAAGGTTTTCGAGGTTCCTTCTTTGTATTGACTTACTACTGATGATTTAGATTCCTTATTGTTGGTGTTGTCACTATCCTGAGCATGTTTCACATGCATGTAGTCATTAATATTATTATTATCACTATCACCGCTATCATTATTTATTTTATTTTTATATTTTCCTACATACTTTCCGACTAATTATTAAGTTTCAAGGCTTCTCTTATATGCCTCACTTCCTGTCTTAGATTTCCCTTGGCACTACTTAGTTTTTGTGCTCTATTATTTAAACATTTCACCAATCCTATTTTCACTGACATAGGATGGGATGATCAGTAGTCCAAATATTTGTTTGAATGTGTGGGTCTCCTGTAAACACACTAGTATGTATTTAACTTCCCATCTTCTTTCCTCTTTTACACTACAATCTAACTGATATGTATCCATATATATATATATATATATATATATATATATATATATATATATATATATATATATATATGGTGATCTCTCTTTCTGTTGCTCGCTTAGCCTGTGACCATTTCACTTGTATGAAGCTGTCTCCTCTAACAATGTATATTCCCCTTATATTATATATAATATGAGTGTTTGTTGACAGTCCGTCGCTTGGTGACATATATCCATATTATATGTGTGGTTGTTGACATGTCTGCTATATTTTGCTATGTATATATGGATCGATACTCCATTATAATTAGACATTCATGTTAAGACTGTCTATTGATTGTTCACACACTTGTCTGGACATTCATATATATATATTTCGCTCTTACAATCTTGTGTGACTCTTTGGTGTGATACCACTTATTGCTTCTCCTGGTGTTTTGGAAAATAGAAGTATCATCGCAAACCTAGTGGTCTTCTGATTTCCGTCTTTCTTGCGTCAGGACTATTAAATTCTCGACCAGTACATGGCAATAATTTAGCGACGAGTACATAACACTAACATTGGCAGTTCCCCCCCCCACCGTGCCCCGCTTTCCGACTTTCCAATTCATAAGTAAAGCGATGAATCGCCTCCACCTTTGAGTTATAATATGTTCAAAAAATCTATCTATCGCCTAACCTTTGTTTGTTCCCTTATCTCAGTGTTTTATGTGATTTTTTGGAATATGATGAGATGGATGGATTTATGAGCTCTTAAAAAAAAAAGCTGAAATAATAAAAGATCAAAGTTTATCATCATTATCATCAGTTTTTAATGTGAACACTGTTTTAAAAAATCGTTGAAATTTGATCACATTTTAAACGAATAATTCTTATGATTACAACCACTAGTAGTGTTATTATTACAGTGAAATAGATAACCGTGTTAACACAGTGTTAACTGTCATGTTTACCCAACATTTTATAAGTAGTATACTTTGTCTAATAGGTGAGTAGTATTTTTATTACGCTTCTCTCTCTCTCTCTCTCTGTCTTCACCTTCACCATTTAGTTATTCATCTATGCTGTTTTCTCAAAGGATATCAATCGGTAAATGAAGAAATACTCGAGGTAAGCATTAAGCATCATTAATGCAGCCACGGAAACATACGCGATATATATATATATAGAGAGTTCAAATAAGGATCTTGGTATATTGTTATTTTAGTCATATACATCTTATGGGTAAAACTCAACTGTCAACCATCTAGCCCTAAGTGTTCTTGGTCGAAGACTATCTTCGTAATGCAGTATGAAACTGGTATACACTATAAGCGTAATCTACGTTAGGCGACTTGTGTCTCGAGTGGAACATATAGCTGGCTTCAACAACACTTCCCGACTTTGTTCTTTTTTTTTGCCGTCCTCTTCAGCTAGTTCTATGATTGTCCATAATCTCTCATCTCTTCCTTACACGAACTTCACCATGTCATCCGAAAATGACTGACTCATCGGTTCCCATTTGGATTCCATTTGAGTGCTGGCCTGGCATGCTATATTATTCGATGGCCTCTTCAATGTATGCCTAATCAATCCATCTCCACTTTCTCCTAAATGATTTGTAAAGCGATCGCCTTTCGCCGGTTGGTTTGTTCCCAGCCAGAGTGACCTTTGATCTTCAGTATGGAGGCAGTGAAGTGGGCAGGTGTTGATGAAAGTCTGCAGTGACCTGTTGGAAATCTTTTTCGTGACATACTGGCCAAGTTTCTCACCTGTATAGAAAAACCAACTTCACATTTGTGTTGAAAACTGCGAATCTTGTTCCTTATATTGAGTGCTGAAGATTTCCAGACTAGTTTCAGGCTGATGAAATCTGTTAAATCTCTCCAGCTGGTAGTGATTGACTCTGGTTGTTGTTATTGTTGTTGTTGTTGCTGTTGATTGGTTATCTTCACCACCTCCACGCTGAAAATTCCACACTTGTACCAAAAAATACGGTGTGGAATCAAGCTGTAACCATAAAATAAAATAAAATATTCGCTTCCTGCTAGCCTCTTCTGACAGTCTGTTGGCTTTTGTCTACAAGTCTTCCAGTTTGTGTGACATTACGCATAAATCGTCATCGCACGAAATCCAGATCTTATAGAGTCTTTTCATCAGTCGTTCAGTGTATTCTTGTCTTCTTGCTTAAATTCACAGTCCGATGCATAGTCCAATCCACCACAGTCAAGAATATCATCGGTGACAGTAAGCAGACCGTCTTGTCTTACTCCTGTCTTCACTTCAAGACAGACTTCACTGAGCCCTCCATCGTGGATCACTTGACACGTGGCATCGTCATATAGGTAACTGTTGTTGAATGAGGTTGACAAAGACTTAAGGTACGCCGTAGTGTCGAAGTAGTTTCCAAATTACCTCTTCGTCAACTCTGTCTGGTGAAGACCTTTTCAAAGTCGATGAAGTTGAGGTAGATAGGGGTTTGACTGATATTCTTTGTTTTGCTCAATGATAATGCGTAGAGCTGCAATTTGATTAGCACATTATTTGCCTTTCCTGAATCCAGATAGCTTGTTACGGTGGGTGGCGGAGTTCTATATCCAGTGCATCCTTTATTCTTCCCAGGACGATGCGACTTAGTATTTTACCTGACGTGGACAACAGCATTATTTCACCCTACTCAATTCCTGCACAGGCCTAAGTCACTCTTCTTTGGTAGCTTGACAAAGTAACCAGCCTTCCCCCTCCAGTCAGTAGGCACCTTTCTTTCTTTCCAAACTTTTTGCAGTAATGGAGTGAGAACATCTGCTGCAGTCTCTGGATCCGTCTTCAGTGCTTTGGGAGGAATTCTGTCTAGTCCTTCTGCCTTCCAGGACTTCAGTAGTTTGATCTCATTCAGGATTTCTTCTTTCGTTGGAGGAGTGGTGTCCACCGGCAGTACTGTGCGTACTATTGCCGGTGGTGGTCGATTTAAGATTCCTTTAAAGAGACCGGTCCACTATTTAATTTGTTTCTCCTCCTTGGTTATCAGGTTCCCTTGAGTATCTTTCATTGGCATCATCATCTGGGTTGATCTCTTCCCAGATAGAGACTTGGTTATCTCGTATAATGTCCTGATGTCTCTTTCACCTGCAGCCCTCCTGTTCTGCTTCAGTTGCCAGCTAGTGTGTCATAGAATTGTCTTTTGTTTTTCTTAGCCTTCGTCTTCACTTCTTTATTCTGTGTAGTGTACATTGAACTCAGCTTCTCCTTCTGTTGTCCAGTTTTGCATTAAGTCATCTTCTGTTTCACCATCCTCCTCTCCGGTGTGTAATAAACGTCAGATATGATCATAAAGGCTGACTCCACGATTGTCCATAGACTCATCAGACACTGAACTCATCGTTTTAACCCCAGGTCTTATAAGAGGATCTTCTGACTGTCTGATGTTACTCAGCGTGTGTCCCATTCATCTAGTTCTTTCCCAGATTTTCTTGTTGCTAATCCTTTCTGTCCAGCGATGGCGATACTGTTGACGAAACAGTGAAGCATTTTTGATTGGACACTAGTCAGGAACTAGTGTAATGTGTATCTTGTCCTCTCATTGGTGCAGACTGAATTCTTCCAGTCAGATTTGCAACGTGGCCACCATGCCACTAGGTAGCTCACCATCACAGTGCACATTGATATGATGATATAGATGGTTGGAGTCGATTGGCCACAGGAAGCCTTTGACCGGGGTTTCATGCTAGTTGGCATTCATCAGCAAGGCGTATCTACAACCCCGATAGATAGAATTCAGTCTGCACTGAAGATAAGATTAGACACATTACACACTAGTTACTGACTAGTGTCCAATCAAAAATGTCTAATACAGGAGGTCAATGGCGAGCTTGAGTAGCTCAGTGATAACGTCTGTGACTACAGGAGGCACTGGGTGACGCAGGTTCGAATCTCCTCAGAAGGGATATGAATTCCTTCAAGGTGGTTGCAGATACGCCTTGCTGACTAGGTAGTGCCAACTAGCAGGAAATCTAGGTCCCGGCTAGGATCCCTGTGGCCGATTGCCTCCAACCATCTAAGAATGAGCTTGTTAAAAACATCCTCAATGACTTGCCGAGTTTGTGAACCAAATAGCAATGGTGACTAACTTGTCATTTCAGTGTTGAAAATCCGAATTTTGTTCTTTGTAATGTTTGCGGCATATTTCTACACACTGATTTCTGTTTTGTCTTTCCAACCGTGGATTTAATATCCGCATCCGTTTCAACTGTATTTGAAACGACGCTGTTTTCAGATAAATGATAGAGGTGACTCCCTTTAGATTTCCCCCTCTGATAGTTATTGGTACTTGTACTTCTTTATAAGCTGTCCTCACTTCTTCTTCTGTCAAATTATTGATTATCGTCTGTAGATCTCAGGTTTTTTTTTCATGAAGTCGAGATCTGTTAGAATCTTCCTATGGGCACAGAGTACTTCTGTCTTCTCGATGTTCACAGTCTGCTTTATGAGATCCAGTTCACCACAATCAAGAATATCAGCAGTGATAATAGGCATCTGTGAGTTTTCTGCTCTCACCAACTTGACATGTGACATTATGCCCTATATACCTCATAGAATTGAAAAGTGAGTCACTTTAATTCAATTTCAGAGAATTTAGCACTATGATTTGCATATATATGTCTCATGTATATAATATTAATACCTTCCATTTTTATACAAAGCGTTATCCACTAGACCACATGGACCACGAGAGCCACCTCTTGTGCAACGGGTCATATTAATTATTGAATTGAATTTTTTTTGATTTTCCCGTCGATTGATTGGACCGAAGTGCCCGGTCAAAGGTTGACATGTCGGCTTCTTGTGCAGATTCTTCGACGATGTCTGGGGATTTGATTTGTATACAATTGGTGGATGGTGGCTAGCAGTGGAATCCAGGATGCGCATTTCGTCCTATTTGGGACTCGTCAGCTGGATGTACCTGTATTTCTCAGTGAGTGATGATGTTCCCACCGAGGCTCGAACCCAGTGCCCATAGCTTCAAACGCCAAAGCGTTATTCCATTTTTGTTTCTGGTTGGATTCTCCCCAGTGTTGTCACCTTCTGCTTGTGTCTTTTCTTCAGTGGCTCTTATATTAATGTACCCTACTCCTTATGCTACAATTCCATTATGAGTAAGAATTTTCATTTTGATATTGTCTCACAGTGTTATACAGTAAGCAATATTTACTGGTGACCACATTTCCAGCACAATTTATTACTGCTCATAATCATATCAAGGTACTCACACAACTTTCTAACTTCGTTTATACAGTTGCATTATCTTGCATAGCTTGACTTGATGATTGGTTGGTAATGGTATTTTCCATATATCCGGTTTGAGTGATGAGTCATTCATATTGCATGTGCTGGATGTACACTTGACGAACAAGGATTCAGTAATCAACCTCTTACACCCTCCACTTACCTATATTACTTCTTAGAATTTTAACCCTCTCCCACCCACTCTATAGTGTGATTGTGTGTTAATGCATGCATGCATGCAGTGCAATTGCTGAACTATTTTCTCTAAATTACTTATCTTCGTGGGATTAATTATTCTGACAGGCAGTCTGGCTAACCCCGATCTACTAGTATGACCTATGTAGTTGACCTCACTCACAGTCGTTGGAAGGCATTTTGCATATTATATTATTTTGTTTAATTTGATCACTAGGGTCGTTTAATCTACAGAGCTTGTCTCTGGGTGATTTTGTAGGTTTAAAAGCCAATATAATTCCTGCTTATTATTAAGAATCCTACTTAGGGTCTCAGATGTCCCCTCCTGATATGGTATAACAGTAGAGGCCTTATATTCTCTCTTATTTGTGTTATTATTACTACGTAGGATTCTCAATAAAGCAGGAATTAAAGTGGTAGCATTCAAACCTACAGACTCACTCATGTAGAACAAGCTATGTAGGCCAAAATATCCTGTAGGCTGACCTAATTAGACGAAATAATACGTAGTAATTATTTCTATAGTAAATGAATAGCTTTCCAAGATGGAATGCCTGGGGTTCTAGTCAGAAGTTGTGATCAGTGTGGTTCACCAGTTTGGATGCAAGGACAAATACTGGTCAATGACAGTAACTGACGATGGAGATATACATACCGCAAACTAGGAAAATCTAAAATATGTTGGTCATGAGACTTCATCCCACTGGAAGTATGATCAACGGGCTCACCTTTAAATCCGGGAATCCTGGGCTGAATTCCCCACTGGTATCAAGGGTGAATCATTTCTCTAACATGTTACCTCAGTTGATTCGATAAGTGAGGCTTCAGTGCTTTAGTCTCTCTCAGTGATTATATCAAATTTTAAGACTTTCATTTTGTCCTATCCTTTGATATTGTTGTGTGTAACTGTGTGCAGTCCTATAGATGTGCAATTTTGCCTAGATTTTTTGTCCTGGTAGGGTCCTTACTGGGATAGATTTCACATGGATCATTATAGGTTCCACCACCTCAGGACAATAGACAAAAAGAAAGAGGTGAGTTGCAGGTGAGGAGATTACTGAAAGTATTTCTGAATGGTTGGACTATCTGAGGCAGACATTTCACTGGAATCCTACCCAGTATTGCTCAATGACAACTAGAAATGGTACTAATTAGACATAGTCAGTAAAAATTATCAAATTTTCTCGTAGGGGATTGATTGATATTTCAAAACAAAATATATATTATGAGAAATACCCATTTATTCATAAGTAAAACGACAGTCTTTTTTGTTCAGCGAAGAAATTTCTTTCCAACGACTTCATTTTCAAGCTGTACAGTCGTATTTATATTACAGAAAAAGGTTATTAAGTGGCATTAAATAATTGCTCAGTCAATGTACGTATATATGTGATAAAAGTTATAAGGGGTAGAGTTGAAGTGGATAAATTACAAAAATATTAAAGATTGTTCTATAACAAAAATGTCAAGTGTTGTCTAAAAATTTTGAAAATTAGGAGTACGATTACGATAAGAATGAAGATGTGAAGTGAAGTGGAAAGAATTCAAGTGGTAAAATAAAATAAAAACTAGAAAGAACATTACTATGACCAAGGTAAAGAAAGGGGTTTGACACAAAACGTTTTTGAACACATAATTTAGGTTTCTGTTCGTGTATAGCTAAAGCTTCGGCTGTGCATAAGTGAAGAAAACGTAAACTTTTGGAGCGATTCGATTTTGCCGTGTAGAAGATAACCTTAAAGGATGAATCACGTGGGGCTGAATGTGACCAGACTGTAACAGGTGATCACAAATAGACGACTTCACAGTTCTACGTTCGCCTTTCATTAACCAAACCGGATAGTGTGTTCAGCTACAGGTTTTCGAAGAGTACGCTTACAACGTCCAATATAATCAGCTCCACAGGAGCAGGTTAAAGAGTAAATGCACATAGATGTGGACAAAAGCAGTAATCTATCCTTGACGCGCATTGTCTAATCATATTTCGGCTGGTAAAAACTAGCTGCAAGTCAGCTGCATGAAAAGAGCATTTAATACATTTAGATAAACGATTTTTAATCCATTCAGAAATGGTATCACCTTTGAATGCAAGACTCATAAATATATTGCTAATTTGTGAACATCTCTCATTTAATTGAGCTGGTGAGTTTCAGGTAAAATGCACTAAAATTTGTTTGTTTAACTTTTTATAATTCTTGAACTGTATGCATTGTGTGTAGCATTCTCTGATTTTCACGTTATCCACTTTTTTAGAAGGAAAGACTGGGCAGCTGTAAGTTTATTCATCAACTTTTCAACCAATTCAACACGGTTATTTTACTATCAGTGTTCAAATTAATAATAATAATAAATAATAATTTTTCCTTCACGTTCCCAGTGGAACATAGGGCTTCGAGCTAGTAGCTTGAGGTTTCTGTAGCAATGCTTATTTTACAGGATGGGGTTGCTAGCCTCATGTCCAACCTTTCCTCTTCACCAGGATTATTTCTGGCTTAGTGAAGTAAAGGAGTGCGTCGGCCGGGGATCGAACCCCGGACCATGTGCATGGTCGGCGAGCGTCCTAACCGCTATACCACCGACGCAAAGTGTTCAAATTAATTAACTTAATATCAAAATTCATCTGCGACTACATGAATTTCATAAAACAAATTAAACACAAGTGTGTAATATCATCTTTGTGATGCACCCCTAACTGCAAAAAATACAGATTTTGAATGAGAAGAAACACTGGACCAAGTAAGTGGCCGGAAAACTAACCTCGAAATAGAAAGATGGAACTTAATTGGTGGATGGTGACTAGCAGTGGAATCAAGGATAAAGCGCATTTCATCCTCTACTTAGAACTCGTCAGCTAACTGGATGTACCCGCACTTCCCAGTAAGTGATGATGTTCCCACCGAGGCTCGAACCCGAGGCTCGACATGTCAACCTGAGACTGAGCAATTCGGTTCAGTCAATCGACGAAAAAATTTAAAATTTAATTAAATAATTTATATAACCTGTTGCACAAGAGACAGTGGCTCTCGTGGCTCAAGTGATCTAGTGGGTAATGCTTTGGCGTTTGAAACTATGGCCAGTGGGTTCGAGCCTCGGTGGGAACATCATCACTCACTGGGGAGTGCAGGTAGATCCAGTTAGATAACAGGTCCCAAATAGGACGAAATGCGTGTGATACTGGATTCCATTACTAGTCACCATCCAAGAATTAAATTCTAATTAAATGACCAGACATCATTGAATCATTTGCACAAGAAGCCGACATGTCAACCTGAGACCGAGCACTTCGGTTCAATCAATCGACAGGAAAATCTAAAATTCAATCAAATAGATGAAACATTGAAATCTACACACTTTCAGCTGTCTAATTAATAATTACCAGAGGTTATACATTTATTCTACTTTTACTAATTTGGAAAAAGCAAGAACAACAGTGGTTTTTGCACAATAATACATAGTACTATCACTTACTTCGTTGGATTCTCATCAACTGCTGGCAGCCTAAATAAATTATTGTTAAGTTAATGTACAGAAACACTTTTAGCATAATTGAAAATTTTACATGATGTCAGTTGACAGAAGGTTCCACAATTAATGAACAGTGCTCAGAAACTTGCGCTTATATTTAGTTTTTACATGGGCAATCCAAGTTTAAACAAAGTAAATGTATTCATACAATGGCAAAGGAGTTTTACGTCATTAAGACGAATGACGCGTAATATGATGAGTGACACTAATAAATTAGAGAATCATATAGTGAGTTCATCTCAAATCATGGAAACAAGAGATAGGCGAAGTTATACTATATCAAATGGGGTGAGGGGGAAGGTTAAAGCCAAGGATTACGTAATCAAATGAAAGAGAGAGTAAGGACATCCAGTTACTAAATGGAAGGGAAGATTGTATACTGCTTCTTTCTGATCACATAAATCGGGTTTCAGGAGTTCGATAGAGATTGCTATAGATATGATGGAGAAGATTTGTAGCTCAGGTGGATGATTTTGATGTAACTGTGTTCTCTGAGCAAGCTGGCTGGATAGTTGATTTGCGAAGTTTTCATTATTGCCCTACTAGGCAACATCTTCAGTGCATACTTCAATTTGAAGGAAGTGAGATTTCAGATTTCTCCACGAGTTCATCATTAGTCATCTCTCCTGGTGACCACCTTGAAAGTGACTCTTTGATTGTTTTTGTGTATTTTCACACCCCCTAGGCTAATTGTGTTGGTGGTGCTGATTGTTTCATTGCCTTGAACTTTGACCATTTGTGTGTGTGTGTGAGGTTTTCTTCTTATCGGTTGATAAATTTTGTCTATCTCGATGTGTCTATTGATTGACGATTCATTGGAATACCAACCAGGCTTCTAAAAATTCTTTGGCTAGCATTCTTGGTGTTTCCTCTGTCTAATATTTGAACGTTGTTTGTTTCAGTCGAATTGATGTTGGTGGTTGTCTGCATGTAGCGAGTGATATGAGGGAGTGGATGTCATGTCTTTTGACGGCTAGCTTATGTTCGTGGATACAAAGATGAAGGGGAAGTCCACTTTGGCCAATGCAGTGTTTTTCGCAGTTGTTACAGTTTATTTTGTAGATGATGTTGGTTTTGTCTTCTTTCGCTGTTGAGTCTTTTGGTTGATACAGAACTGGCTGAGTACAGTGATTTTGTTGGTTTGTGTTTGACATCAATCCCAAAATGTTCGAAGAGTTTTGGAATGATTTCTGAGATTTATGGTAGGGCAAGTTTCTTCGTGATTTTCTCGAGGACCTTTGATTTGATAGGTTGGCCTGGGGATATATGTCTTTTGTTGAAGTTCCGTGGATATCCATTCTTTTGGAAGACGCCCATGAGATATCTTTTTCTTCGATTTTCCTTAAGGTGAGAATGCTGCAATGAGTCCTGACTGGCCCTTTTGAATACTGTTTGTATGCAACCCCTTTTGTGTGTTATTGGATTGTTGCTGTTGTAATTCAGCATTTAGTCCATGTGTCAATCACCATCAACGGGAGGGATTTGAAAGAGATTAGTTACTTCATTCACTTACCTAGGGAGCATTGTCTCAACTACAGCAGGAACGGACGAGGATGTCAAATCGAGAATTGGGAAAGCGAGAAACACATTCATCAACCTGGAATCAATCTGGAAATCTTCGTCACTCAACTCAGCATCAACAACAAAATTCGGTCGGATTTTCAATACAAACGTAAAGTCAGTTCTTCTATATGGATCAGAAACTTGGAGGGTCACAAAGAATATTTCGAAAAGGTTGCAGACCTTTATTAACAACTGTCTTCACTGGCTCTATACTGAAGATCAGATGGCCAGGCCGAAAAGAATCGCCAACAAGGAACTATGGGAACAAACAAAGCAAGAACCAATCGCCCAAGCAACAAATATGCAGGAGAAAGTGGATGGAGATAGATTGGACACTCGCTGAGGAGGCCGCCGCTGGGTGACATCGCGCGCTCACAGGCCATTGCTCGAGTGGAACCAGGCCGAAAGGGAGGCGGTGAGTGGGACGTCAGTGCAAGGGTGACATGGAGGAGATCGTATGAATAGAAGTTGAAAGAGTATGGACTAAGATGAATGCAGGTGAAAAGTACAGCAGAAAGAAGACAGAAGTGGCAAGTGGAGACGTGCAGTTGAAGCCCTATGTCCGACTAGGAACCCAAGGGAGCAATAATAATAATAATAAATTTAGTCCATGTAAGCTGATTTTCTATAGACCTGAGTTTCTAATTCTCCTGTGGTCTTTCGCTTTACTAAGACGTCCAAAAATTGGATTTTGTTCTCAGATTCCTCTTCTCCTGTGAATTTCTATGTCTTTGAAGACGTTGTTTATTAAGTGGTGAGTTTTATCCAACTCTTTTTTTTGATTAATGCAAACGTGTTGTCCACGTGACGTATCCAAATTTTGAGTTTAATCTTTGATAGAATTATGTTTTCGAGTGTTTGCATCACTGCGTCTGCAATCAAACCTGATATTGGCGAACCTATGCGGAGAAAACACTAAAAGCTCACTTCAACAAAGTGAAGTATGCGCTGAAGATGTTGCCTAGTAATTAGGGCAATGTAAGCTTCACAAATGAACTATCCAGCTAGCTAGCTCAGAGAACACAACCACATCAAAATCATCCATCTGAGCTACAAATATCTTCTCCATTATACTATGGTGACTAAACATCACTAATTAAGTTGTTAACCCTTTCATACTTTTAATTTTATTTCAAACTTCTATATTTCCCTTGATGCGGGGATTGTATTTCCATAAATATTCAACCTATTGTGAGTTCGCGAACACACATATTGGTAAAAAAAAAAGGACCGTCTAGACCTAAAGTAATCAAGATCAATCGTATTAAGACTAAAACTCATTGAAATCATTCAATTCTAGTATAATCGGTGTAGGGTAATGTCTCCATTCTTCATTAGATCCACTCCTTCCATGAACTTCATCTTTATCTTTCAGTGATTTGTCCAGCTGATAATCGTTTTTTCTATTGAATGCTGTAAAACAGAGTAATGAAAATAACTTTGTTTACTCTCTGTCTGCCTGTTTACTTTATAGTATGCAGTAAATGTCAGACGACTGTTACTAATGTATTGAGTAAAGTGTTAAACTTAGACAATCAACTGAAATGGGAAAAAGAATTTTTAAATGGATGTGAATACACTGGTCCATTTCGTGATTATGTAAGTTTATGTGGTGTTAATTGGCAGTTTTGAAAATCCACTAATTTTTTTTTACTGTACATACATTTTGTTTACTCATGCGACATATCAGACATGTCAGCAGTCGGTATGAAAAATAAGATACGGATTTTCAACTACAATATGAAGTCAGTGGTCCTTTATGGATAAGAGATTTGGTGCCTCGTCACGAAGGCCACTTAGAACAAACTACAGGCCATCATCAAGTTACTCTCTTCGCTCAATACTACTCAAGATCAGATAGCTGGCCAGGAAAGAACAGCCACAGGGAGGGATCTCTGGCAATGAGTGAACCTACCAAGCAGGTATCGATTGTGCAACAAATCTGCAGGAAGAAATGTAGGTAGGTGGATTGGTGGTCATACTGTGAGAAAAGAAACCATCAAGTGACATCACACGCCAGGCCATTGCTCGAGTGGAACCCGAACGGGAAACGGCAAGTTGGTGGTTAGTGCGAGGGTGACATGGAGTAGAGGAAGTCATGTGAAGAGGAGATGAAAGCATGTAAGCAGACGTGGAGCCAGGTGATGAAAACGTTGGCAGAGAAGCCAACTTAAAGGAGATCTGCGTGGCGGAAGCCCTATGTTCTTCTAGGAACTAAATGAAATAATAATAATAATAATGAGACATATCTTGTCCAAGTGCCACAGTGATTCAGTTTTACAGTGGTCATCAATCAAAGAATTGGTTAAGGTTCAAAACCCAGAATGCAAGGGAATCACCGTTGTATTTATTATTGTAGCCATTGGTTGTGAGTTGAATGTATGGCTTTAACAGAGCGCCTACATTTTACCCTGTTTTATGCAGTTCTCTTTAGACGGCTGCATGACTGCTTATAGACGACCCTCACCATTTCCTGTTCAGGTTCCACTCGAGTAATTAATCACCTGACGAGCAAAATCACCCAACAACCTCTTCAATATGGATCCAAATCACTTCTACTTTCTTCGGCATATTTTTTTGGGCAGTAGGTTCTTAATTGGTTCATTTCTAGAGTTTCTTGTTGTAGATTCTTTCTGGATATTTGACCTTGAGTATGCAGTCAGCGAAGTCAACTTTTTCATGAAGTCGATGAAAAGAAAATTCTCTCATCTCTGTGACCATCTCTTTTATTTAATTCCTATGATCCAAAGGCTGTCTCGATGGTGCGGAGGTAGAATGCCCGCCAACAACAAAGGTGGTTCAAGGGTTCGATTCCCGACCACCCTTGCACTCTTTCATCTCGCTAAGCCAGTAATAAGACTAGTAAAGAGGGAAGGTTGGACATGAGGCTGGCTAGAAACCCACCTACGTGAAAATAAACACCACTGCTACCGACATTTCAAAGCTGTCTCTTGAAGCCCTACGTTCCACTAATAGGAAAGTGAAGGAGTAAAATAAAAAAAAACGAAGATCCAAAGTATAAGATGCATAAGTATCAAGTGTTACGATAAAGAAAGGAAGACGAAATTTGCAGTATAAAATGATGCCATCATTCTATTTCACAGGTTCTCATCAGCTGCACACCGCTACCTGAAATTACAATGGTTATATAGATGATAATAACATACTTTAATTCGTGACCAGTAGGGTGCAGCCGGTCGGGTGTGAGGACAAATACTCGCCGAAGACATTGGCTAGCGGTTGCACTATGTCGTGAATTGGCAGAAGTTAGAATTCAAGGACCATTGGATCGGGTCCCAGTGGCTTAATGGTATACGAGCTCACCTTGTAACCGGAAGGTCCTGGGTTCGAATCCTGGTGGGTGCGTACTGCTGAAGAGTCCCAAACTAGGACGAAACGGCTGTCCAGTACTCCATGACAGGTTTTCCAATGGTTCTCTAACTAATGTCAGCTCATGATGAAATCCTGAAACCAACCAATCAAATCCCTATAAACCATCACTTGAACATACTTTAATGTTCGAGTAGTGGTGGTAGAGAAGAGATACTATAAAATTGAAGCATCTAAATGAAAGCATTACAATGTTTTTTAGTTTAAGTTTTCATCATCAATTTATACGCTTTTAAAGTTGATAAGAGAGGGAGGGGTAAGAGAGAAAACAGAAAAAAATTGATTAACAGAACAGTGTTAGCTTTTAGGTTCATATAGTAACTCAAGAAACAAAAACGGTTACACCACTCGGTTACCACCACTCGAACATTAAAGTATGTTATTATCATCTATATAACCATTGTAATTTCAGGTAGCGGTGTGCAGCTGATGAGAACCTGTGAAATAGAATGATGGCATCATTTTATACTGCAAATTTTGTCTTCGTTTCTTTATCGAAATTTATCAAGGGAACCAAATGTATGAATTTTTATCAAGTGTTAATTTGAAGGATCACGAATTGAATTCACGGGTCTCTGAATCCAGTCCCAGGCTGATACACACCAGATATCAATAGTCGGCCTGAAAAATTTGGGCTACTGTCATCAATTTGCTAAAAATTCCATACCGTATGGAATCAAGCTATAATAAAATATAAAATACAAAATAAGTGAGCGAACAATATCCCTTTCGACAATTTCGTCATCCCCTGGCTCAACAATTATGTATGTATGTTTATATACATAGAATATTCTAGATTAGTAATCAATAACAATATTAGCGTTTTTTAAATAATATCGACTTGTAAAGTAAGATCACAATGGAATTATGGTTCATTGAAGATGCTTAAATTATAATAATCATAATAAAGATATAATAGCAAATAGAATATCAACTAAAATTAGGAAAATTCCACAACTAATTGAGGATCATTTAAATCTAAATGGCCAAGGTAAGGATAATATCTGAACGAGCTTCTTTTAGACACATAAATTAGGCTTCTTAATATGGATCCCAACAGTCAGCCTAGGCAATGTTTGGTAAACGAACTTTTAAGGCGAAATTGGGATTTGTTGGTATGCGGTAAATGACTTTGAAAGCTGCCTCGTTGATATCAATCTTGTGTTCTGTATATCCGCAAGGTGAGATAGAATACCGCTGCGCAGGGCGATGTTCGAAAACCCGATGAGAAACACGCCTAATTGTACGGCCTATGCAACTAACTGGCTCCACAGAAGCAGGTGAATTGGTAGATACACATGGAAGAGGTGAAATTAGGCAGTTTATCTTTTAACTCCTGAACGCAAAAGGGGAGTGGTTTTGAAGACACAACATAATTCGGCAGCATGGAATGCTCTTCGCTTTACCGCATTTCTAAGGCGCTGTGTTAGTATCCCGTTGATGTTATCTCAAAGGCACTGAATTTGTAGGAATACAGCCTTCTTAGGAACTCGATGTTGGTACCTTGGGCTACTTTGATTCTAGATTTATATTCTGATGAATAAACTTTTCTGGATAACCGTTTTCACTCAGCAACCCTTTAATATCATTAAGTTCCTCATCAAGACATTCAACCAAGCAAATTGCTCTTCCTCTGTGGCGGACCAAGCACTTTATCGCATCGCATTGCACAGTTAACAAATCGATATTATTTAAAAAGCACACTGATATTGTCATTGACTACTATTCTAGAATATTCTATGAATATAAACACATATGTATATATAATTGTAGAGCCAGAGAAAGGGGAAATTATCGAAAAGGATATTTTACGGGTTGATCACGGGTTGATATCAGTTAGAGAACCATTGAAAACCAGCCACAGGGAGTACTGGACAGCTGCTGTTTCATCCTAGTTTGGGAATCATCGGCAGTACGCACCCGCTGGGATTCGAACCAGGGACTTTCCGGTTACAAGGCAAGCTCGTGGGTGGGTGCGTACTGCCGATGATTCCCAAACTAGGATGAAACAGCAGCTGTCCAGTACTCCCTGGTTTTCAATGGTTCTCTAACTGATATCAACCCGTGATCAACCCGTAAAACATAACTAATCCTTACAAACCAAATTATAGAAAAGGATATTCTTTGCTCAGTTATTTTGATTTCTACAGTTATGAATTGGCAGAAGTTAGAATTCAAGAACCATTGAATCCGTCAGCCACCGTTTAATATAATATAGTTCCTTATCAAGACATTCATCCGAGCAGATTCCTGTTGCTCTGTGACGGGTCTAGCACTTTGTCAGAGTGCGTTTGTATTTCAAGGGCATGAAGTTGAAAAAATGAGTACACTGACCCGTTGATGTAGGCTTTGTATATACACTTCTTCTTCTTATTGTTCCATCCTCTTTTCTGGTCATAAGGACGTCTAGAAATGAAATACTCGAGTCGCTTTCTTTCTCATTAGTAAAATTTATTGCACGATGAACCTTGTTAAATTTATTCAGGAAGGATGTTCTATGCTTCCTTCTCATTTTTCATAATCAAAAATGTGTATCATCCATGAACCAACAATAAAATTCGAGTTCAGAAATAGCATCCTTCAAAGGCTCATTTCCTAGTTTGACAACGAAAATGTCAGTTAGAATGGGTCCTAGTGGGTGACACCATTACCACACCATCGATTTGTTTGTATAGTTCCTTATTAAATGAAAAAAAAGTAAACATTCATTGTGCGTTTCAAGAGAAGCTCTTTTATAAAAGATATATAGGAATACCAGTGTCGATATTTCTTCTAATAACTTCTTCGCATATAAAGTCTACTGTTTCCATAATTGGTACATTGGTAAATAAGAAAGATACGTCAACAAATGATATCATGAATTTATTGTCAACATTTAAATCTTTTATTCTTTCAACAAATCCAAAAGTACCGTTTACACTGTGTTTCCCCATCACGGTATGTAGAGGCAGGAAGAGTTCAACTAACCATTTGGCTATGGGTTGGTTAGGGGGGAATTTAACGTATCTAATACTGGTCTACATGGTACACCCTTTTTGTGCACTTTAGGTGAGCCATATAATCTATATTAATATAATATAATTTAAAATAACTAATAAAATAATCAACGGGTTAACTTCATAACAAGAACGTCCTGGATGTTATCCCTGAAAGTCTTAAACTAAAGTGTAACAAGTATCAAGAGCTCAATAGTTTCCAGTGGTTCTCTAACTAACGACAATCGGTGATCTAACTTAAATATCCTTCATATGTAGTTTCTTATTCTGTGTGTGTGTGTGTGTGTGTTTTGGTAACACAGAAATTTCTCTAAAGTCAATATGCGACCATAATTTCATCAGTGAATATACATCTCTTAAACACTAAATGAGATACTGACTTTCAATCAAGATGCTTTCCAGTTTAATCAACTTTCTTGTTCGTTTTTCTTTATTTCTTTTTTTTTTAATATTTCAGTGTGCATCATTCTTCAGTTCAACAATGTTTAAATTTATAAATAAAATTGTGGCAAATATTGAACCGCATAGTTTTTGTCAAGTAGGTTATAATTTTCTCTATATATATGTTTTGGAATGTTTTATATAATAACAAGGTTTTCACAAAGTTTATGCATAAAACTACATACTACTGATTGGTTGAGATGAGTAAATGCAAACACCGACCATCTGAGATAAGTTGAACCACTTCAAACCATCCAATTTCTGGTTATCTGCTTGAGCAAACTGATGACAGGATATATCACATTCACAATTTGCAAATTTTTTCTTCGTAAAAAAATGTCAGTTTAAATTCAGTCTGGGGTTGAGTTAGAGAAATATTAGAGCTATGCTTTCGGTTACGGATCTAGATTTGTATTTTTAACGCAATCTCTAACTTCAAAGTCATTGGTTTGTTTACATTTATTGAATGTCTATCCTTTGTGCTTGCCGTGTTTAGTTTCGTCAAACATTGCTTCAGTGGTGTTTTTGAGAGCTTTATTATTTTGATGTGGTTTTGTTCTCTGAGCTGGATGGTTAATTTGCGAAGCTTTCATCACCCTACTGGGTGACATCTTCAGCGCATACTTCAATTTGAATTGAGTGAGCTTTTAGATTTCTCCACGAGTTTATTAATCATCTCTCCTGGTGACCTTGGACATGATTGGTTGTTTATGTGTGTTTTCACGCCGTCTAGGCAGCTATTTGTATTGGAACTGACTGTTTCTTTGACTTGAACTTTGACACTTTGTGTGTGTGTGTGTGGTTTCCATTTTATCGGTTGGTAAATTTTGTCTATCTCGATGTATCTACTGATTGACGACGACTCACTGGAATACCAAGCTTCTAAACACTCTGGTTAGCATTCTTGATGTTTCCTCTGTTCAATATTGGAACGTTGGTTATCCTAGTCGAATTGATGTCCGTGGTTATCTGTATGGAGTGAGTGATATGAAGGAGTGGATGTCATGACATGACATCCAACAACATCATCTACAAAATAAATTGTAACAACTGCGAAAAACACTACATTGGCCAAAGTGGACGTCCCCTTCGTCTTCGTATCCACGAACATAAGGTAGCTGTCAAAAGACATGACATCCACTCACTCATATCACTCGCTACATACAGACAACCACGGACATCAATTCGACTGGGATAACGTTCAAATATTAGATAAAGGAAATAACAAGAATGCTAGAGAATTTTTAGAAGCTTGGCATTCCAGTGAATCATCAATCAATAGACACATCGAGATAGACAAAATTTATCAACCGATAAAATGGAAACCACACATACACACACACAAATGGTCAAAGTTCAAGTCAAAGAAACAATCAGTTCCAATACAAGTAGCTGCCTAGACGGCGTGAAAACACACACAAACAACCAATCACGAGGTCCAAGGTAGTCACCAGGAGAGATGATTAATAAACTCGTGGAGAAATCAAAAAGCTCACTCAATTCAAATTGAAGTATGCGCTGAAGATGTCACCCAGTAGGGTGATGAAAGCTTCGCAAATTAACCATCCAGCTCAGAGAACAAAACCACATCAAAATCATCCACCTGAGCTACAAATCTTCTCTGTCATAGCTTTATTATTATTATTCCGAGTGCAACACCTCGGCTTCACTAAATCATCTCCACTTCCTTCTATTTTCTGCCTGTCCTCTTCATCTGTCATCTCCTCCTCACACGATCTCCTGCATGTCACCCTCGCAACGAAGACCTACTCACCACTTCCCAATTACATTCTTGCATTCAGTGCGATGTCATTCGATTGCCTCCTCAATGGTGTATGCCTGATTAATCCCCATTTTCTTCTGTCGCTTATTCTTTCAGGCTGGCCATCTGATCTTCGATATGGAGCCAGGCAGCGAACTGAGCAGTTGTTGATGAAAATCTGCAGTGATCTGTTAGAAATTCTTTTCGTGACGCACACGCGGAGTGCAAGTTTCTGACCCGTATAGAATAATCGACTTGACATTGATGTTGAAAAAAATAAATCTTGTTCATTATGCTGAGTGTGGAAGATTTCTCAGCTGGTTTCAGATTAATGAAGGCGCAACTTCCCGCCCCCCCCCCTATTCAGACTTTGACATCTTTATCCGTGCCATCGCCTGTAGTTGAAACGATACTTCCCAGATAAGTGAAGAAGGCAACTCCTGTTAAATCTTCCCCGTTGATGGTGATTGGTGCTGGTTGTTGTCGTTGTTTCTGTTGTTTGGCTACCTTCATCCCCTCCGTCTTCTCTGTGTGTTCACCTGTAGTTCTGTCTCTGGCTGCCTCTTCATCCAGTTTGTTGATTTTCGCCTTCTAGTCTTCGAGTTCGTGTGACGTTAGATATAAGTCTTCCACATGTGAAATGCAGGTTTTCTAGAGCCTGCTTATCTATTCAAAATATTCTTGTTTTCTCGCTCCTGACGTACTGTGTGACGTATTATCCAGTCCACCACAATTAAGAATATCATCTCGATTATAATAGACAATCAGTCCTGTCTTACTCCTGTATTCAATTCTATCGCCTCGCTGAGTGAGTTTTCAGTTGTGGATCACTTGACACATGGAATTGTCACGTAGCTGTGTTAATGAGGTTGATAAAAAACTTGGGTACTGTATGCTGTAGTTTTGAAGCGATTTCCAAATGACTTCTCAGTGAACACTGTCTGTTGAAGGCCTTCTCGAAGTCGATGGAGAAAGTTGAGGTAGAGCGAGGTTTGATAGCCATTCTATGCTTTGTTCTGTGGTGACAATCCGTAAGTTGCACTTTGATCCTCACATGATTTGCTTTTCCTGAATTCAGCTTGTTCAGAGCGGGGGGGGGGAGTTCTGTATCCAGTGCATCGTTTATTCCCTCCAGAATGATGCAACTTAGTAGTTTACTTGGCATGGACAAGAGCATTATTCTACGCTAGTCAGTTCTTGCAGAGGCTTTCCTTCTTTCTACTGCTTGAGAACTGAGCTACCTCTTCCATCAAACAAGTGTTATTTAGAATCAGTTCATTCTGGTTATATTTTAACAGTTTTCCAGTACTCCCCGGGTGGTTTCCAGTCGTCCTCTAACCGATGTCAGCTCATGATCAACCCTGTAACCAATCAAATCCTTACAAACCAACACTTAACAGCTATTTCAATCAGCTGTCGAATCGTCTGAATCCCACTTAAACGATTTTTGAAAACGTCTAAAAACAATCACCCGCTCATATTCTTTACATATCCGTGAGAAACTAACATGTGAGATGGAGAAAAACAGGAAACTAAACAAAAATTTAAGTCATCCGATGACTGTCTGTGAATTGGGTAGCACATTCTATAAATTCCATAATTATTTTTTTTCGATTTGCAACGTGAAAATCCATAAAATTGTATTTTTTTTGTAAAAGTTATTGTTTGGAACTAAATGATTTACTATTAATATGAAGTAAAGAGTTCGATCCTCGGTAGACTTACTCCTCAGCCTGGCTTATCCGGCAGTAAGTGTAGTAAAAAGAGAAGTTTGGGCGGGAGGGCGTGAGCATCCCCACTTCATAAAAAGAAACATCACTTCCAGTGAGACGTCACAGCTCAGGCTTGAAACCCGATGTTCCACTCGGGATGCAGAGGAACAAATCGACTAACTGGCCCATGATTTCTAACATCTGGTAAGATTTGATCGATCACTCTCAGTTGGTAAATAAACAGATTGGAATAGAGGGATCAACTTCAATGGATCAATTTATTTGAGTTAACGCCAGTTATTATCTACGCTGAATTTATAAGAAGAATCTAGATGATCTGGACTTCACAAACATACTCAAAGCTCTTAAAGTGACGAAGACAGGACCTCAAGTGAACGTAAGCAAGACGAAGGTAATATGAAGATAGCTGACTAACAACAACAACAGACACCAGTCATTATCAACGGGAGACTTTTGTGACGGGAAGTCACCTCAGTCAGACACCAAGGCAGTTTCCTTTCAAATACAGATAGTATGGATAAAGACGTCAGAACCAGGATCAGAAAAGCAAGATGGATCTTAATTACGCCTGAAATTACTGTGGAAATCAGCTGTACGCAGCATAAGGATGAAGATGTCAAATCGTCTTGCCACAAAAAGCATTTCTGACAGGCCTCAAACTCTCATCTACATCTGCCCACTTCACTGGATTCATAATGAAGACCAGATGGCCAGTCAGAAAGGATTAGCAACAAGGAGGTCTGGCAACGAACCAACTAAGAGCCTATTGCTTAGTAAATATTGCGAAGGAAATTCAGATGTATCGGATAGAGGCTGAGAGAAGACTGCTAAGTGATATCATGCTCCAGACCATTGATCGAGTGGGACTGGAATGCGAAGTGACCAGTTATGTGTGTTAGTCGGAGGATGAAATATATGAGATCTTATGAGTGGGACATAAAAGCCTGTAGGCAACTCTGGAATCATCCCAGAAATAATTTTTGGGGAACAGAGCGAAATGCTTTTTTATGTGGTTGTGTTCTCTGAGCTGGATAGCTAATTTGACAGGCTCTCATTGCCCTACTGGACAACATCTTCAGCGCATACTTCAATTTGAAGGAAGTGAGATTTCAGATTTCTCCACGAGTTCACCATTAGTCATCTCTCCTGATGACCACCTTGAACGTAACACTTTGGTTGTTTTTTGTGTATTTTCACAACCTCTAGGCTACTTGTGTTGGAAATGATTGTTTCTTTGACTTGAACTTGAACAAAGGGTCAAAGTTCAGGTCAAGAAAACAGTCAACACCAATACACGTAGTCTGGAGGGTGTGAAAACAGACAAAAACAACCAAAGTGTTACGTTCAAGGTGGTCACCAGAAGAGATGACTATTTATTTATTTTTTTTTATTACAGCTTGATTTCACACTGTATTTTCGGTACAATTATGGAATTTTCGGCATGGATATCGGTAGCCCAAATTTTGCAGGCCGACCATAGATGTCACGTGTGCGTCAGTAAGGGGTCGAACCTCGGACCATGTGCATGGTCGGCGAGAGTCCTAACCACTGTGAACTGTATGCGCTGAAGATGTTGCCTAGTGTTGGGGCGATGAAAGCTTCACAAATGAACTATCCAGCGAGCTAGCTCAGAGAACACAACCACATCAAAATCATCCATCTGAGCTACAAATATCTTCTCCATCATACTATGGTGACTAAACATCACTAATTAAGTTGCTGACCCTTTCATACTTTTAATTTTATTTCAAACTTCTATATTTCCGTTGATGCGGGGATTGTATTTCCATAAATATTCAACCTACAAATTCAGCTACTAATCTTCTCCATAACATTTAAAGTGAAATGTGAATGGCTATCCCGAGAAATTTATCAAGAAACACACAACAAAGAAAGAGGAAAAGGACTACTTACCATCTGTAAACAAGAAGCCACTTTATATACGACTACAATTTAAGAGCGATATAGCAAGTGAGATAATTACGAGGGAATTAAGAAAATCAGTTCAAAGAACGTTTATTGCTGGCGAACTGCACATATTATTCTCTACACGACCGATGGTGCTACCTTAACTGAGAGATGAAGTATCTAGACTAGCTAGTCACTTCCAATTGTATCTACTAATTCGACTGCGCTTGTGGTAGAGCGAGTTATGTCGGCCATTGCTCTAGGAACTTGATTTTTTGTGCTCGAGAACACCTCCAACTATGGTTAAGTAAAGGTATAGAGAAAACCATTAACAGTTCGATATTGGACCATCTGGTATAAAACGACTACAAAGCCAGCCAGCGTGGAAGAATCCCTCTCTATAATCTACCTGGTAACTAATAAGTTGCCATCGAACCACCGTATGCTCCAAATAGCAGAGGCTATTGAGATCCGCCTCAAACAACCAGTGCTTTGTGTGCAATAGAAACAAGTCCAGGCACTAATACTGTCCTTGTCCTCAGTGGAGACTAAAAATTCATGAATTCGTAACATTATCCTTCCTAATTTTTTGGACATTCAGCTTATTTTATGATGATGCTATTCAGCTGTAATCTTTCAATATTATTGATTCGATGTTATTTAAACGACATTAATGTTGTTCATAGCACTAATGCATTCATTCATTCACTATAATGTATGTATAACTGTAGAGCCCGATGATGAAGGGGTTATCGAAAAGAGTACTCTTCGTTCAGTATCCACTCTTTTGAAAATTTTAATGTATTGTTGAAGCCCTACGTCCCACCCGAAACCTAAGGAAATAATAATAATAATATAATTACATGATCCGAGGTAATAGTTATGTATTTGAGCACAGTGATAAATCATACGAGATCAAAGTCTATTTGTGTTAAGTTTAATAGCTAGCGTGATAACTCGTACTTATTATAAAATTTATTTCCTGAACTTTAGACTCCCCTTATGGCACTTTTCATTGAGATCTATACACAAATGACACAGATACAATGTTCATTTTTATTGTTATCATAAAACCGTCTGAAAAATAACTTTAGTTTCTGCTCATAAATATCATTTTTAATTTGTTTTTCAGAGACTATTTCTGTGTTAAATTTAGAAACAGTTCAAATTCCAATCAAAATCGATTAACAACAGCTACAATTACTTGCCCATAAAAAATATGTTGCGCCAAATAAATTTAATTAATAAATATATACTACTTTAAAAATAAACAGTAGTCATATTGATAACAAAAACTTTGAAAACTCATTGAATTTTTACACATGTTTTTGAATGACGAAATAAGTAGTGAACCAATCTTAATCCAGCGATTCACACCGGTAATTTAAAAGCGGGACGTTGGAGAGCCACATATGACTTCTAGTCTTGACACGCCTTTCTTAACTTCACACCTAGTTTACCAGCTGGTGTCACCACCCGAAGAGAGAAGTGATTGGATGTGAGGCTAACTGCCTTGCTGTTAAAAACAGGATTATTTTCGCCGAGACTGCAGAAAATTCAGGTCATATATCCCACTGAAAATGCAAAAGAATGATGGGTTCTATTTGAAATTAACTGTCTTAGGGTTAATCCTTTGTTTTCCCAGTGGCACATAAGGTCTCAAGCATGTGCTAGCCCCACTTTCTGTCTTCTCAGTTTACCGGACTCACTGTCGACTAAGTGAGGTTTCGGAGTGCGTTAGCCAGGGATCAGACCATTATCCATGTATGCGGTTGGGGACTATTCTACCGTTGAGTCATTGATGCACACAGCTGAAGTATTCAAGCTCCTGCAGTCAATCAGAAAAATAGGGTTTAATTTAGCGGTCAAACCAGAAGCTTCAAGTAATAAGAGATAACAAGATAATGACTCAGATTCTCTGTAGATCAATCAAGTTTCATAGCCTCTTGAGAGAACTAACGATTCGTTGAGGTAGACTCATATTAAGGAGGGGGGGAAGTGAAGAAAACAGCTTAGTGATTGACTTTTCACAACGTATAACCGTCAAAACCAGTTACACAAAATTAAAGGAAAGTTAATTCTGGAGACTTAGAGTTATCAGAACAAAGATTTCAGCGACGATTCCACTTACAATAACAGTCATTTTTATATTGTGAATTAGAACAGTACAATAGAAGGAGTATGATTAAATAAATGAGGGAAATATGTCGTTTTTCACACTAGCTACAAAGAAATGAACTACAAGACCACCTAGCGAAGATCTAATTAACATCGTTGTTGCTATTTTCACCTGTCTCAAGTGGAACAGAGGGTTTCAGAGACATATATCCATTCCACCTGACTCTGTGTCATTCCTTTCAACTAACTTTAGGACCGGTCAAAATTTCTCATTTCCACATTTGATCTTCTCCATGTCATACTCAGACGCCTTACTCGTCGTTTCACATTCGGATTCCACTCGATCAATGACCTGCTGCGTGATGTCACTCAATGGCCACTTCAATATGTATCTGATATATCTCTGTTTTCTTCTACATATTATACAAGCAATAGGTTCTTAGAATTTAATTTGCGGATGGTGACTAGCAGTGGAATCCAGGATAAAGCGCATTTCGTCCTCTACCTAAGACTCGTCAGCTAGTGGATGTACCTGCATTTCTCAGTGAGTGATAATGTTCCCACCGAGGCTCGAACCCAGTGCCCATAGTTTCAAACGTCAAAGCCTTATCCACTAGACCGCTTCGGCCACGAGAGCCAACTCTTTCTTATACAACGGGTCATGTTGATTATTTAATTGAATTTTAGATCTTCCCATCGATTGACTGGACCGAAGTGCTCAGTGTCAGGTTGACATGTTGGCTTCTTGTGCAGATGCCTCGACGATGTCTTCGCATTTAATTCGAATTTAATTTGCAGTTGGTGAGTCGCAAACAGGACGAAATGCGCTTTATCCTGGATTCCACTGCTAGTCACCATCCACAAATTAAATTCTAATCAAATGCCCAGACAACGTCGAAGCATCTGGACAACAAGCCGATAGATATGTCAACCTGAGACTTAGTACATTGGTCGAATCAATCGACGGAAAAAAATCTGAAATTCAATTTAAAAAAATAGGTTTCTAGTTGGTTTTTCTCTAGAGTTCCTTCTTGCTAATCCCTCCAAACTGGTCGTATGATCTTCAGTATGGGGCCAGAAAAGTTGGCATCTCTGTTGAAGAAAGTCTGAAATCTATTGGAAATGCTTTTTGTGACTCACCAACTCTCTGAAAAACGAACTTGTGATGAAAATCTAATTCCTGTTTCCTCTGCAGAGTGCAGTAGACTTCCACTCTGACTTCAAAGTGATAAAGGTCTATTGTCAATTGTCCAGATGGCAAAAAATTTCTGAACCTATCTCTCATTTCAGAAAACTATGCCTTACACACCGAATATTATGCAAGGTAATCAATACGGTGGCACAGTGGTTAGGACTCTCGCCGGCCATGCACATGGTCCGAGGTTCGAGCCCACGCCGACGCACACCTGATATCTATGCTCGGCCTGCGAATTTCGGGCTACCGATATCCACGGTGAAAATTCCATACTTGTACCGAAAATACAGTGTGGAATCAAGCTGTAATCAAAAAAATAAATAAATAAATAAAAATAAAAAAATAAGGAAACGGAATTACAATCCGATTGTTTATTCCTTCACCGAATACGAAGAATGTACGTCTAAGTAACAGTTACCATTGTTGTCTTCCAACAAATGGAAATCAGCTCGAATAAACAAGCCATTCAATTTTCATGTAATCTTCACGAACACTGCTATCTACCTTGCCTTTCGTATTTTCACAGCTCTTATTTTGATACCTGAACACGTAAATCATATTTTAGATAGCCTACACTGTAATGAAAGAAGACAAGGGTAAGGTAACGCATCGTTTATTGAGAAAATTAACAGATATTTATAGATTTTAATGTACATTATTATTCGTCATTGTTAGCAGAGAAGCAACGTCTTTTGATTGGTTGTTTTCCTGCTGCTCAAGGTTATTCTGTAGTGCTTGTAACCGTTTCTTAGAAAGTTAAGACATACATTTGTGAATTGTATTTGCCCACGCGAAGTCTGCTGTGATTGGCTTGTTCTTGTTTTTTTTTTCGCTTGACCAAGATTTTGGACGTAGACATTCACGTCAATCATTATTTTTCAAGAAATTATTTTCAATTCAGGTTTTAGTAAAAATCAATTTATGAAAATTGATGTTAAAAATCAAACCGACAATCTGGATTCTAGTAATCCACTGAATTCGAGTGAAGACACTATTTGTTCAAAACAAGGAGGGGCATAATCAGTTCAAGTGCAAAGATTTTTACTCCAAATTCCTCGTGTCTTAGAGAAGAAGAAAGAATTCTCCTCAATTTCAACTAAGTGCCATTTTTTCATCTTGAAACCTACGCTGACGAGATTGCATAGAGAAATAACGAAAGCGTCACAATTAAATCAACTGGTTTAGAGAACACAACTAAGTCGAAATCCTCCACCTGAGCTACAAGTCTCATCTGTAATGTAAACTAAATGCGTTCGTCATTTTTAATAATGAAATTTATCCATAGTGATGATACAGTCTCTTCAGATCCTCTATATGTCCTTTGTCAATGTATTTTGTCTTCCTCTCTTGTGTGAAGAACTATACACCATTACAGGAACTATTATCAATGCATTAAGTGTTTATTAGAAAGGGATTGGTCACATTATTTATCATGATTTAATAATAATTTGCTTTATTCTAAAACAGTACTTGTGATACAGAATGGAATTCTCAGCATTTTACTACAGTATTGTTGCATCCAGTTTGTACATTAACAATAAATAAAATTCTACATAGATTAAAGGTAATCTCAGTTCATTATGACAACAACATATTGGCATGTCGGTTGGTAGCAAAGCCAAAATTGAACAGAGTGTTTGAAGGTGTTAGAAAAGTAGATACTACTAGCATATTTACTGGCGTAAGTGGTAACAAAAAGGTCGAGATAAACAGATTGTGAAAGAACGAAGAAGAATGTTTTAAGTAGAGTTTTTAAGGAAGAGAGAAACAAAGCAGCACATAACAGAAAAAAGATAAAAAGAAAGAAAACGTTGTACCTATAAATGATATGACGAGTTGAAAAGACGAGATCCAGTTGTTCTACTAACTATTTGATAAGTTGCAGGTTTCACGCCTAATGCTTTCTTTATCGGACAGAACACGAGCTTCAAACGCCAAAGCGTTATCCACTAGAACATTTGGTCCACGAGAGCCACTGTCTTTTCTGCAATGGGTCATATTAATTTCAATTGAATTTGAGATTTTCCCATCGATTGATTGGACCGTTCCAAGTAGAACGAAATGAGCTTTTTCCTGGATTCCACTGCTAGTCACCATCCACAAACTAAATTCTAATTAAATGCCCAGACTTCTTCGAAGCATATCAACCTTAGACCGAGCACCTCGGTACAGTTAATCGACGGGAAAATCTAAGATTCAACATCTGAATGTTAATCTTCAGCTCATAAGTAGCTAGAAGATGGGTCTCCTGAAGTTCTAATGAATAGCTCAATGTCTGCGGGATTTATCATGTCAAGGTGTCAAGCGGATGTTCACCTATGGCATTGATTGGTTGGGCAGCTGAATCGTAAAATGACAGAAAGTAGAATTCTTGGGTCAGTGAATTCCAACCTACTAGATGAATGGTAAGTGGGCTCGCCCAGTAACCCCTGAAAGTCATTGACCTCATTCTTTGATATGTGTTTGGATACACATTGATGGTCTGTCCCAAACTACGACGAAACAGCTATCAAGGCATCCATGATCTTCAATTTTTCTTAAACTTATCTCAGTTGGTAACGAGATCTACAATAAAATGATTCAAAACCCACAATTTGAGTAAAAAATAAACTATCTGTTTTACAAAGAATCAGACTAGTTTTAAGAAATCCCAAGAAATCTTAGGTTAGGTGAAGTTTCAGGGTCTTCAACGCACGCAAGGTTCGTTTGTACGGGGGCGAAAATCCCCTTGGAAGTACTGAATGCATTCACCACATCTTACATAAGCGAGTAATTACCTCCCACTGGTATTTCTTATTTTTAAGGAAATATCCATTCACAGACACTTTCCCTGATAATAAAGTACCATCAGAGATTCGTCTAATCTCAAAATAACAATGTTTTCTCACCGGCGACATTGTTTGGGATCGCGCTAAGTCACACAAATTGGTAGAGCTTAG